GCAGGCGAACGCATGCAGCGCAAATAGCTAAAATATCATAAAACTTTTTAACTTTTTCATGTTGCCCAACATGCTATGTCTATATAGAGAGCCCGGTATATACACATGTATGGGTGTAGAAGTATGTATGCTGAGTTTGAATGTGTAATATCAAAAATGGTTTGCTCACGTTGCGTTGTTGACCGCGTCACGCTTCACAGCATAAAGCAATTACTGTGGCGTGAGCAGAAGTTGAATCTCTGAGCTACGCGGTCAACTCACATAGACTGCAGCCCCTTTTACTTCACTCCTCTGTCGCTCGATTGTTGCTTGAGTCGTTGCACTATTTTGATTTATGAAATTTTGCACGCTGACACAGTGCTGCACCTATGCCAGAATGGGAGTCCTGGCTGCAACTGCACTGATTTTGTGTCTGGCATAAACTGTGACCTCGACTTCAACTTCGACAGCGAGTCAAACTTTGCAGCTGGCCATGTGTTACCTGTACTTGATTGAATGTAACTTGCCCCGCCCCACTGCACGTATCTGTTTCCCAACTGGCTGGCTGCTTTTGGCCTGGCATGAATTGACTTCCTGGCTCTTATCCAGCCTGAATTTGCGGCTCTGTAAAGTAGCTTAAAATTTCCCATGACAAGCGCAACGTGTGCTTCTAACGCAAAACTTTTGTTTTCAGCCCACTTGGCTGAACCCTTGCCAGTTGACAGTTTTTCTGCTACATTGTTGTTGTTAGTTTCTATACCCTGTTTTAAATTTAAAAGAATACAAGTGTGATGTCTTATGTTAATTCGGATTTTGAAACCATATTTGTTTCGGTCCAATATTTCTCCCTATTTAGCAGCTTGTTTACTATGTAAAATATGTATCAGATATATTATTGCCAAAGGATTTATTTTGCAGTATTATGCTAAAATCATGTAGTCGAGCTCTTACAAGCACTGCGTCCTTAAAACTCCATTTAAAAACCCCTGACTAAGCGTCGTCTTATAGTCGAGTTGCTACAGCCAGAATTTTTTTAAGGTTTACAGCATACGTTTATCACGATGGCTATTTTAAAGGGTATCTATTAGTCAAGTACCAACGACCAACTCATTGTTATTTTCGCCTTGTCTGTGTGATGTGACAATGAAGTTTGAAATTACGCGCGCGTGACAACTTTTCGCCATTAGTTGAGAGTAAAAGAAAAAAAATCCTTTAGTTTTTATAGAAACTGCTTTTAGCGGGTGCTGCGAAGAGTGTTCATAATGAGATTAAGTGTGCTTTGTTTTGGCATCATTGCGAATGAATGAGACACCAGCTTGATGTTGACTTAGTGTTTGCATTGAATGCCCTGTGGGTATTTCAATTGGGCTACGATTTGATTAGCAAATGGAACAATGGCTTTCGAATGCTTATCGATAATTGCTTTGGCTTGTAGACACGTCAAAGTCTTTGCCCGTCAAAACAGCTGCACTAACAACAAGTGCCCACTCATCTTTATTGCTAGACACACACGCGCACACACGCCCATACACACACATTCACACAGCAACCCACGCACGCAGGCAGACTCACTTCTGATTGTTGCCACACGCGTTTCAACCTCAAACACAATGCGCAAATAACGGCAACAAGGACTCAGGCAGGACTCAGCCAGCAGAGCCGTGAAAGCCGCAACATACACACATACACACAGGCACACACCCCCAAGCACACGTGTGAATTTCTGGCAAAAAAAGAATAGTAGAGCGCTTTGCGGCGCAAAGGTGCAAAGTAGATGGATAAACGGGGACAAAGCTGCGTTTCAGTAACAAATCGAATATGTAAAACATTTTCCCACTGTTGGCGTAGTCCCATGTTGTTGCTGCTGCATGTCAACCTGAACATGTTTATCAGGGCACATATGAGCTGACTTTTACCAATAGGTGTGTGCGTGGTGAAAAGTAAAAGCAATTTAAGTATGCTAATCAATTGCTAGCACTTGAGTGTGAAATAAATAAATCTGAAAACAGAATCCTATAAATCTAAATTGAATTATATATAAATCCATTGCAGTGATTAGGGCCGGGCTAAAGCATATTTGTGGAGCTTGTATCGTTCGAAAAAAAAATATTATGAAATCGACAATTTATAAATAGGAATTGCAAATACTCGAAGCATAGGAAAAGTGTATAAATAAATATGATGAAGCCATGGCAGATAGATCCAATAAAAATAGCCTGTGATAGCCTTTTGATAGACTTTATTATCTTTATATATATATATGTATATATTTATATATATATATATATATATATATATATATATATATATATATGAGTATATCGAAACTTAAACATCACATCATTATCTGGTTAAAGTAAATAAACTTTTAGTCATTTTAAATTTTAAATATATATTTTCACTAAACATTAGGTCTAATGGGCTGCATTTCGACTATGTGTTAAATGGCAAGGGCTTCAGGGCCATCCGCTTGCCTTTGCTGAATAACAAAAGCAAGCTATCAGCTCAAACTGAAACTCGCAACTATGCGCACTACAGGTGAGCTTGTTGCAAGTGTTGCTACAAGTGCAACAAGCCGCAAGACAAAACCCATTTTGTTTATCCAGCTTTGGAAGCCGAAACGCCAATTCGAAATGCCAATTACGGCCAAATTCCCGTCATGTTAGCTATTTACACGCACTCTGCTGCAGCATTTCATGTCGGAGCTAAACTCGACGCTTACAGCATGGAATCCGAGTTGAAACCTGTGCGTGTATGTGTGTTGCTGTGTGGGGGTGTGGGTGCGCCTGTACTCGTTGGAAATTGCGTAGGGCCTACGAGAACATTCCCATAACGGCTGCATATTTGACTAACTGGATTTGGCGCCAACTAAATGTTGTAACTATGTTCGTAAAGTGACTAAAGGCGTTTAACTTTATCAACCCTCTAATGGGGCAGAGTTGCCACGCACTCTCAACTTGACTCGAGTTAAACGATGTCAGGATTGCCTTAAATGAAATTTAATGGGCAGTAGACAGTAGATGTGCTCTGACCTTAAATAAAATGAAGTCTGCTAGTTCGGTTAGAAAAAATAAATAAATAAATAAGTTATGCAATGAATGACCTCAGATACCCTGTTTTTTTCACATAATTAACATTTTTTTACGCTTTTATATGGAACCGCAGATACTGTACTTAATAACGAAGACTACTTTATTTTGAACTTTTATTAAAAATATTTAAACGCATTTGGTTAACTCGAAAAAAGCTAGTGTGGTTCTTTAAATAGCTTCTGAAATAAGTTTTCCAAACAAGACAACATGCCAGAAAAAGTTGAATAACCGTTTATTCATAATCGACTAGTAGATACCCTATACTGAACGGAATATTTGTAGTTCATGAAAACGCTAAACCTTTTTCCTAAACATCTTTATTACCCTAACATTATGTATCAGAAGAAAGCCAACCTGCTCCACATAATAAATCTTTTTATACCATTTGTACTGATTGAAAATATCTCATCTAAATTTACCAGCAACTTCAAAATTTTTTTGTTGTTCAATTTGATTTTATAATAATAGTTTCATGGCAACCTTTGGACAGTTTAAGTTTTTAGGACATACAGCAGCTGCTTGTTCAAATGTGCTTCGCTAATATCAGCATAAACAACAAACTGTCATTTAAACGCTTGCACTTCTAATCTCAACAAGCTGATTATAACTTTTTCCAAAAAAAAGGCAATGCTTGCAAAATTTTCAGATTTGCATTTCAGTTTGAGGCATCAGCAGTGTGGCTGCCACTGACCGCAACGCACAGAGAACACAACCATACATACAACATAGAAAAAAAGAAATAAGGATAAAAACCTTCCCACAAACAAATTTGAGGACCAAAGAGAGACAATTAAACCGCGTCCTAACTGAATATAAATCCTCCCCGTAGTTCCGTATTTGAGGTGACAATAAAAACTAAACATGTTGTGAGCTAGCATTTAGTTTATGTGGGGCGTCGGTTTGGGTTAAGGCTTGGGGTGGTTGCAAGAGCAGGAGCTGGAGCCGAAGCTTCCAGCTCGAACAACAGTTAGTACGTGGCTGGGGCTTAGTCTCAACTTTTATGCTAACCCATGTTGATAATATCAAAGTAGTCTGGGCAGATTAAAACCAGAGCCACAAGCGACGTGCTCGTTGTCATGGGTAAGCCAATAGATAATACGCTCACACTCAGTGCCATTTAAAGGGCATACATTAAAGAAATTTACAACGCAAATGAAAATTAATTAAATCAGTTGTACGTAAGCTTCATGCATACATAAATAATGTAAGTTACTTTTACAAATTTACCTAACTAATAATTTATATTTGATTTATTAACCAAGCAGTGTGTGTTCCGTGGAATCCATTTAATGGACTTTACAGTACTTTTTGGGACATGCAAAGCAAGCAGTAAAATATTTTACTTTATGCTAATACAATACGAGTCTTATACAAAATTCAGAGGCCTTTCTCTATAAACTGATATATATACGAAAGCCGTTTTCAATTGTTATACCAGACAGTTATACAAAAACAGTTATATTTGCTATACACATTTAGTACATTGCGTTCTATCTGGGTTTCCCTTCAAATAAAATCTTTCTACTTTTATACTCACATTTGTTATACAAACCTAAGTGTTATACTGTTCTAGTAACACGTTCTCTTATATGTGTATAACATTTTAAGAAAGGTTCAGAACTTGGTTAAAGACACTTTCAACCCCTAACAAAAACTGTTATATATCTTCACACCCTCAACAACACCAGTGACTTGTGTTATAAAAATAAGCAGTTGCATATAGTGGGAACAGCGCGCTGTACTGAAGGCTGTTATAAGCAAGCTGTATCAATATTTTGCCACCCCAAAAAGTCAATGACAAAACTATTACCAAGCTTTCCAACCATATTGTACTAGACAGTCTAAGCCACAGACGCAAGCATATGTACATAGAACTGTCAGCATGCTTCGAATTCATTACAAACGCAACAAAACTTCAACAATGCTTAGTTTATATTTAAAAACAAAATCAAAATATCGAGCTTTACCAAAAACAATCCCAGCGCTTTCAAGTTTCCTTTTGAAAGCTTTTATTGATGTAACCGTTGTGCGGAAGAACGGAGGGAGGACTTGGAATGTCATAAACAGGATATAAGGGTGCAAATTCGTTAACTCCGAAGGCATGCAGCTCCTCCTCGTTGATGTTGCCGCGTACCGTGTGCTTCGACTCCACAAATTTGGGCAGAGCTTTGGAGTGGAAATTAGATATTGAACAGTGATGGATTGGTAGGAGTACTTGAAAAGCTTACTTATATCTTGAGAGTTGAGCTGATTCTCTAGTGCCGTGACCATGGGCAGCTCATCTGTCTGTGATTCGTAGCGTGCACTGCGCCTCGGCGGCTGCTGCAGCACAACATCCTTTCCCGAGGAGGTTTTCAATGCCAGCGGCCAAGTGCCAATCGTAATGGGCATGGTGATCAACTGATGCTCCTGCAGGCTCTTAATCAATGCCTCCACCTCTAGCTGATAGGCAATCTGTATCAGATTGCACACGTTGAGGCAGGTGGGCGGCGTACTGGGCACCTCCATATCAATGGCCAGGGAAACCGTGCTTCGCTTCAGCACAGAGTCCCCTTGGATCTTGCCAATAACAATGCGATCCACACGTGAGTGTTCGGGCGTAATACTGAAATACCGGACGAGCATCACCAGCGATAGTCGCAGCTCAGAGACCGATACGCCACTATTATTAATCACGACCACTGTGACAGGTATACGCTGGCCGGGCACATACCCCGACTGGGGTAGATGCAGCTCCATTTTGACGGGAGCCGTCTTTAAAGGTCCGCAGCAAAAGGTTCTGTAATTCTCGCTGTGCGCAGCTAACTGAAATATACATCAATCGACCATATCAAACTGAGCGAGAGGAAGTCTTGTGTAGTACTCACTCTAAGTTGCGGCGTTTCTACGTTAAGATCCATCATTTTCAGCACCGTTATGCCGTGTGTATAGGCCTGATCGTACTTCCAAGGCCGGATCAGTAGCACCTTGACTATATACCGTATGCAGCCATAGCGACCCTCAAAAGACGAGGGACACTGATAAGGCAGCTGGCAGGCAAAATTGTAGTTGTGCACACCCGCCTGTATGGTATGTCTGTCATTGGCTAATGGGATAGATTATTCAGTACATAAAAATTGATTAACTGACTGATTGTTTAATAATCAATGCATAGTTTAAACTCTTAACTGTGGCCGGTAAAAGCACTTGAAGTAGGCCACGCCACTGCCTAAGAATCTATACCAATGATTGACAGAATGATCTATGATTGATGCTCAATGCGTGAAGCTGAAATGATGATAATTGTAGCTTATAGAGCTAATCTAGCTAAATATAGGTTCCATTATCTCAACTAGCATTCCTTGTTCCGTTGCTTAGAATTCCCGTCATTTGATTTACAATTCTTATACTTACTTTGCTCCGAGCCAAGCAGATATGTTTGCGATGCTAGATAATCCTCTCGGCCAGCGTATAGTTTTGTTGATGTCAGACGTCTTTCGCTCCATTTTGTTATAGAGTAGCCAACGACTTTAACTAGCGCAGCTGTCGTGAAGATAAATATGATATATGATATATGATATAATACTATGATATAAATGTATAAGCCCTATAAACAGACAAGTGATAAGCACCCTGTAAAGCCTAATAGACCTGATAATGTTTTTTTATATAATATATTGACCCATTTAAAGGATCACTAATTGCCTAATAGCGTTAATGATTTAATCAATCTGATAAGAAATTCAGTTTAGTTGGCGTTACCGGGGAAACTACTGAGGAACTAAGGTAATAGCTTAATACATATCGCTCGTCGAAGAATTTTTGTTTCAAGACCTCATGTTTATTTATATAGAATTCTTATCTTTCAACTTTTCGCATTCCTCACACGAAAATTGGAATCAATGTCGTCATAAACATATATACTAGTATATATTAATTTGGACTATCAGTTATCGTTATCGCTTCCAGCCTTTATAGTGCCAATATTTGACGGGCATTCAAATTCCCGATGCGTAAAAGCCGCAACACTTGACTCTGGCTGTATATATAATTATATCCATATTGATAGTTATTATACCTTGCACTTCCTTGATTTTGTCGGACTTGAGGGTCACACAACCGCTAACCAGCTGGCCGGCGTAGAAGGTGCCATGCTTATTATTATCGTAGCTAATCTCGCACGTAACAACCATTTCGATGGCCGTAAACCTCGCACTGTATGACTAATTCTTAAGTTTCCAAGCTAACTAATTTCCGTGGGCAATGCATTTAGGCCAGGCAACGACGAGCGACTAAATTAAGTTGGGTTGCTACTGATGGTGGACTCTATTGGTGGTTCAAGTTGAGTTAGATAAGCGATAAGACCGGAAAGCACCGTACGTTAGTAACTGTGAGCAAGTAAATTTCATATGAGAGCTACGAAATGGAATTGGAACCAGAACTTATAAGAGTTGAGTTCCAGACAAGTTATCACAAGCGGTCAGACCTTGACAGTGGTCTCATGCGTATGATAAGGGCAAATGCCCCTTCGCATAATCAGAAAGAATACTTAGCAAGACAAGAAGCTTTACTTAAAGTTGCTAAATTATCTTATATTGTAAATATTTTATATTTTTACTATCATTTACTATTTACTAGTTGAACAGCTAAACTTTTATTTTTAAACTTTTTTCTTATTATTTTGCTCTATTTAGAAATTTTTGTCTAAACAAATGCCTGATAAGAACTTTATATACTAGGTAAGGTAAATTAAAATGTACATTAAACTAAATATATTATAAATATATATTCTTTTTTTTTTTGTTATTCAATTCTAAATATTTATAATATCAGCTTGACATCAATGAATCAAATTCGTTAAAAGATAAATAGAATGTCTTTTGTTTTCTCTTTTTTAGTATATCATTTGTTTTCGTTCTTTAACAACAACAAATACTAACTAACAAATACTAACTAAAAAGTTAATAGATTAGATATTTTTATTTTGAATTTATTGTGCATTTATTTATATCACATTCATATCTCATTTCACACGACTCTTCCAACCCAAATATCGCTTTGCAAATTTGTATAAACCTTTCAAAGCTTTAAATGATATATCTTAAAAATTGAATATAATTTTTTATTTTCGTCATGCATGTTTCACTTGAATACAGACTAGATTAAGCTCAAGTAACAGTTAGTAATTATAGCCTGTAGAGGTTGTCTTTTATACTCAGCTTTGTTCAAAGCCAAGTGCCCTTGTTGGCATTCATGTCAGCATTTGGAATTCCTTTCTGATCCGCATTATCTGAAGGGGCTGTGGGGCTTGGAATATTAAATATTGGGTACAGTGGTGCGAAGCCGTGCTCATCCAGACTCAAGGTATTTGGTGGTAAAGTGGCCTGCACACTATTAATCGTATTCATATCAGCGCGCATATGAAGAGCCTCCTCGTAGTTGGGCGGTGCTGAGGATTCAAATATAATTAGAGACAGTTTTCTGAAGAGAAACCAAGAACTTACGAATGCTGCTATCCACAGCCCATGGCGTATTGATATCTGGAGGTGGTGCAGTGGCCACCAGGTCCGCTGTGCCACCCAAAGCTTTGGCATCTAGTGGTTGTGTTGGCTGTTCATCCAAATCACGTGGTTGAGGCTGCATTGGCGGATACGCTAGCATCGGCACACTACCTATGGTGATGGGTATGCTGATGACCTGGTTGCGATGGCAGCCCTTGACGCGCGCCTCCACCTCCACCTGGTAGGCGATCTGTATGATCTTGCACAGATTGAAGCAAGTGGGCGCCGTGGCGGGCACACGCAGGTGATAGGTGAACTGTTTTTTGCAGTGATGCGGTACTGGATCACCCATCAGCTTGCTAACGAGTATGCGCTCGTTGCGGGAGCTGCTTCTGGACAAATGCTGCGCATAATAAGTGACCATCATCGCTAGGCTTACCTGCAGCAGCTCCACGGCTATATGGCTGTCGTTGGTTACCAGCATGCCTACAGGTATTATCTGACCAGAGACGTAACCCGTTTGCGGCAAAGACATCTGCAATTGCATTGGCGACGAAGTGCAGGGCCAGCAACAATAGACCTTCTGAGTTTCTATTTGCGTTGGCATCTAATGATTATATTTCATAAAATTAAACATCACTTGAAGAAGTTTAGCAACTCACCTTTAGCAGGGGAGTGTCGTAGTTGAGGTCCATGATTTTAAGCACCGTAAAGCAACGCGTGTAATACTGATCAAATTTCCAGGGCCTGACCATTGCCACCTTTGTCATGTAGCGCACTCGCCCATAAAAGCCCTCGATGGAGGAGGGGCATGTGGCAGGTATTTGGCAGCTAAAGTTATAAACGTGCACTCCAGGCTCAAGTGATATTTGTGCTATACACGTAAATGTATATAAATAAGAGAAGTTACAACAAATTCTCTTATGTATAAGCTGATTTACTAACTGCTTTGACTAGAGCCCGCCAGATAGGTTTGGGAGGCTATGTAGTCCTCTCGCCCGTAATATGTGTCTGAGGATTTGTCCTTGCCAGTGCCAGTCGATTCTGACCATTGTGTTTCAGCATATCCACTTATATTTAATGTTAGAGCTGTCAAAAAAGTTTATCAAAAAAAATTAATAATGTAATAAGCCATATATATTGTAACAAAAAGTCAACTTAATCAATATTTTAACAGTTTGCAATACCTATGAAAAAACAGAGAGGCCTTCGTATTTAAGCCAACAAATAAGGCTATAAGCAAAGGTATAGCACAAAGCCAGCCATATCTGCTTTCTTTATATATTCTTTCAATTGACTGCACCAATGGCTTTAGTGTGGGAGGGATATACGACATCCGAAATATTCGAAATCTGCGTCAAATGATCAATTCTGATCGATTTTAATGAAAAGATATGAGTTATCAAAAAAAATGATAAGCTCGTGCTTCAGTTAAAATTTCTGTAGTTTTTGTGGTTTATGAAGCAAACGAATATGGCTAAATTGACCCAGTTCGCTGTTGTGATTAAAACTATATCTACTTTAAAGGGTCTGTCACGCCTCAATCTTCCTATTGCCTATATTTTTACAAAATCGTACCCAAAATCTGCTGCCGACTGTTGCCTGCTGCATCTCACTGCAGCCGGCCGGCATGATGAATCTGACATGAAGAATTTATTTTGGATTTGTTTTAGCTAATTGGCAGCAGCGAACAAATGAAGAAGAAGCGTTTCTCTTTAAGTAGCTGAATTGTATATTTATTTTTTGCATTATTCTCACTTCTGATGCTTTGCATTTTTGTACACATGACGTCAGAGCGACAAGCTAACAATTCGAGAGCAATACCTAGCTGAATCTATAGTAAATAATTCTTTCAGTATTACTATTTATAATCGATTTCTTATGTACACATATTCTTTATATGTTCTAATATAAATAGCGGATATATATACATATATATCACAACAATGATTCGCAAAATACAAAACTAACAAGTCTTGAATATACAAATACTTTTCTTTTACTCAGTTGTAAAGATTATTTCGTTCATAAATACATCTCGAAACTTTGTGGAACTATTCTAAAATATGTGCATGGAATGTCAGTTATATCGATCAATACATGACAGATATGTGTACGGAAAATTGAAAAGTATTTAAAAATCAAACTTTCGTTCTATGCAGCTCAGATAAAGGAGATCTTTAAAAATATTTCAAAAGGACAAAGTAACAGAATAAAATATATTTTTTGCTATATTTGCCTAGAAATGATAATACTTATCGGAAAGTTTTTACTGATTTCTTTTTTCACAATAAGTTCTATATTGTAACTAAACAAATAAAGTCGAAGGTGACTTCCCTATAATAACTTATAGAACTGATAACTAATTAAGCCTTTGTATAAATTCTGAAGAGTGTGTTTTTATATAAATAAAATAATGATAATTTCTTGACCATACGTCGATCAATATCATCATCTACTGAATTTAGCGCGTGCCAGGTGAGAAAAAGTTCACATGAATCATTTTCTATTGCCTGGGTCTATCCTACAGAATTTACCACTTTGAACAACTCTTGATATATGTAGCTGCCGATAAGATAAGAATGAGTCATGGGGAAGAACATTTTTGACGGTAAATTTAAAAAAACCTAAATACAATTTTGCACGAAATTATGCTTAGCCGGGTTTTATTTACCTTTAACCAGTTTTATTTTGTCCAATTTGAGGGTCACTTGGCCCGACACTATTTGACCCGCGAAGTAGGTGCCATGGGGATTGTTATCGAAGTTGATTATGCAGGTAACACCCATTATATATGTATATGCCTATTGGTTTATGGCCGATATGTAAGTGTAATTATTTATTACTGCGCCACCGCCACCGAATCGCTGCACTTCGCACTTGTCGCTATCGGAGTCCAAACACGACTGATTGGATTGTAATTAAAAACCAAGCGGTTCGCTATTTATTTCTCACATAACGCCAGCAAGTTTGGCAAGCTCCATACATTCCCCTTGGCACGTTTGAAACGAACTGAGAGTGGAACAAACTTTTGCAGTTTCTTTTGTCTTCTTTCATATTTATATATATTTTTTTTCGCCTCGACCATTTTTATCTTATCGCCGTGTCAATTGTAAATTAAATATTTTGCCCAAGTGCTGTGCACACTACACTAAATTGAGGTATATTCAATTTCGGGGTAATTAAAACAACTTCTATATTTACATATTTTGAATATATTTTGAATTCTGCTAGATCATTCACTTTGTATTTATATTTTAATTAAATAGAAACAAAGTAAGATGCGTTTATATATATAATTATTATATACGATTGCTAATATATTTTTCTTCCTAGAACTAAAATTAAAATTGTAATAACTGGTGTAGACTAATCAAGAACACATCCTGAGCCTCGTGTCCAGCTGTAACATGTCTATAAGTTCAGAAAATGTAAAAGTAGTTTTCATGCTTCTCCTTATGCTCTAGACAAGAGAGCCCAACTACAGTATACTCTAAACTGGTTCAAAAAACTAAGGAATTTTATATTTTCAAAATCAGTTGGTTTATATGATGCTTGGGGACAGAGTTGGGAAGTTCGTTATTTGTATGTAGTTAAGGCCAATCGAGGAATTAAATTGAAGTATATTTATGTATGTATACAGCATGTGCATATACTTCAATGTTTATGCCTCTTTTCTTAAGCAAAGTTCAGGGTATTACCAAAACAAATAGACGCTTAAATGAATAAATGTATTTAATATTCTTTAATATTAATTTCTATACATATTAGAAAACAAAATATACCACAAATAAATACAAAAATATTGTTTCCAAAAATGTTATTATCAATTTATTTATATATCTCTATTTAAATTTTTAGATACACATTTATTTAATAATACATACATATCTTTAAATCTTTAATTTGAAAAAATAAAATATAGAAAGTTAGTTGAATGCTCCATCAATAAAATTGTTATCAGATACCTAAGCTACAAATTCGATATGATATGTAATATGATATGTGAAAGTTGAGGTAAATAAACATTGAGGTTTCGTGCGTGGGACTGTAAAGAACCTTTATTGAGGCTTGCTTTGCTTAGCAATTGGACGAAAACAAAAACCCAAACAAAATAGCATTTTCTTTAAACTAAAATCTAAACGAAGGTCTCGCTTTTATTTACAATTCAGTTTTCAGTTAAACAATTCTCTTTCGTACTCAGATCCAGGTGCTACGATCAATATCTTCCATTTTCGCATTCTCCGTTTGATTGTTTATGTGGAACACAGCGTAGAGCGGCGTAAAGGCGCAATTTTCCTTGGTCTGCGTTGTCGAGGGACTGAACTGTTGGCTCTTTCTCGGCTTGTTGGCTGCGGGCTTAACGTTTGATTTAATGGGTCCGGCGCGTATGTGCACTGCCTCTGCGTAGCTGGGCGGATCTGTAATATGTAAAAGATATTCAGCTATTAGCAACGATGCATTCTGTCTTGTTTCATATTGTAATTGGATTCTGGATATTATATACGATAGTTCTGGTTTTCTATTAACCCACCAATAGAAGCATCCGCTGCCCAGGGATTGACGGTGGGTGTAGCAGCAGCAGCTGCGGCCTCATCCAGCAGCACCAATGCCTTCTCGTCCAGCTGCTGGGCAACAACCTCGACTTCCACTGGCATGGAGCGCGGCTGTTGGATCAGTTGCTTGCTCAATGGCACATTGCCAATGGTCACGGGGAGGTGCACCCGTTCGTTGAGGTGCCAACCCTTAACCTTTGTCTCTACGGCCACCTGATAGGCAATCTGTATGATACGACATAAGTCGAAGCAGGTGGGTGGTGTTGCAGGCACGGGCAGGTCAAAGATGAACTGTTTTTTGCAGTTTCTGGTGACGCCCTCGCCCTGCTTCTTGCTGACCACGAATCGCTCGCTGATTGTCTCCACACTGTGCTGACTATAGTAGAGCACCATCATCACCAAACTGACTTCGATCTGCTCCACTCCTATGTGACTGTCATTCGTGATCAGCACGCCCACAGGTATCGTCTGGCCAGGCACAAAGCCGCGATGCGGCAGCGACAATTGCAGCCGTAATGGCTCCGAGCGGCAGGGCCAGCAGTTATAGGTCTTCAGATCCTCCGACTGGGCAGGTGTCTAAGCAGAATGTGAAATGCAGCGCGTTAGTTAAGGAACAATTGTGTTAATGGGAAGGCTCAAGGTTTTGTAACCCAAAACTCATTTAGAATAGCTATTTATAAATTATAATTTATAATAATTCAATTTAATTTATATTTTACATTTATAATATATATGTTTATATATTATAAGTATAAAAAATGAACATTAACAAAGTTTAACTCAGTTCATTCTGCTTACTCTCCGACTTAGTTGAGTTAGACTTCTGATTAGTATTATTATCATTGTCTGCTTATTTACTTGTACTTACGCTTAGGAAAAGACCTTCCCTGTTGAGATCCATAACTTTCAGCACGGTAAAGGGACGCGAATAGGTCAGATCGAACTTCCAGGGCCTTATGACCTTAACGATAACCGTATAGCGCACTCGACCGTGAGTGCCCTCAAAGGACGAGGGGCACACAGCGGGGATTTGGCAGGCAAAATTATAGACATGGGTGCCAGGCGCAAGGGCGACTTCTGGAGTCAAATAAATAAATAACATTTCAAAATAAATATAGAATTGCATTGGAGAAGGACTTACTTGTTCTTTCAGCTACTAAGAGCTCAACTTTGGAATGAATATAGTCCTCGTGTCCACTATAAGTTTCCTCTGTGGTCTTGTTGTCTGCATCAGTTTCATCTTCTGTCCAATATGTCATGGCAAAGCCCTTTATCTTTAGAATTATAGCTGAAAATATTTAGAGCATTGAAAAATTAAATTAGTTATTAGTATTATATAATGATGATTATATTTATGAGTAGATTTTTACATTTTTATAATGGTTTTGTAAAAACGTATGTAACAGACATAGGACCCCATAACCTATAAACTGTATATCTTACTGATCAGCTGAGTCGATCTAACCATGTCCGTCTATCCGTCTCTCCGTCCGTATAAACGCAACGATCTCGTTAGTCACGAACTTAAAATTTTACCTCGTCCTTTTCCGCTTAAATTCACAAAAAAACATATTTCAAATACTAGAGACTCGTACGTTGGTAAATACATGCATCTGGATATCATAATTGTGCCCTGGAAATATCGATAAGAAAGCCCATTTAAAAGAAGAGTCATTCAACAATTCAGTTTCCAACGGAATGCCCCAACTGCACACGCGCAGCCGCTGCGTCAACTGCGCAGTAAGCAGAGCGCGTGCTTATGCATGCGTATGTGTGAGCATGTATTGTTTGTGTGTGTTTGTGTCGAAGAAGCGTAGAATGATTAGGCTAGCAGCTATTGCGTGGTGAGGGTATCTCCAAGCCGAGCGTCTCGAATAAGTCACTCTTACTTGCTTTTGAATACATTATAATTTTATATAATGAATAAATTGCTATTGACTATCTGTAATGAATATTCCAAATTACTGGAACAAATAAAAAGTTGAGTTTTAGATAACAAAATGTATTAATAGATAGCCAAAAATAAACATGAATCATATAAAAAAAAATAATTAAAAAAAAAACATTTTAGTTTGAAATTTATATCACGTTTATACTGAAATTTTTTTGATGGTTTCTTTATGTTATTGTTCAATTATGGCAATTTTACTAACTTACCATTGACTAGCTTTTCTTCATCGGAATTCAAAGATACACTGCCAGAAATCACTTGGCCCGCATAGTAAATGCCAAATGGATTATCTTTGAAATCAATTACACAGTTTAAAACCATTTTAGTAGTGAGAATATTTTATTGTTCAAATAAACAATAAATATTTATTCAAAGAGACTTTGCTTGCGTTTCGCTTAGCTGGCAAATATCGAACTGAATTTAAAACATTTTTTTTATTCTGTCGCATAACCGGAATTGACAACATTTATCTTATCTATACGAAAGTATTGGAATTATGTGCTTATTTATAAAAAAAATACATTTAGTTACATTTGACATGTGTAAGCGAAACTCAAGAATAAATTTAGATAAGCTGTTCAGATAAAAAAACTGGGTATATATAATAAATATTGTAATATTGAGTGTATACATATATGACGAAAGACTGACTGACGTATGCAAAAATGAATTATATTTATGGGTCTTTCAGCCTACACAAATCTGTTAAAAATAATTAACGATTTTGAGTGATCCATAGACTCTCACTGAAAAGCACATTAATGCCAAACTGAGACAATCACGCATGGCATTACAGAGCGTATAAATACATATATACTTTTTTACTTTCCTAGATAAGATAGCACTTGGCAGCTATTATATCATATTAGTAGTCAAAAAATACTAGATCAGTGAACATTTAGCAGCGAACGGGTTCGGAGCGCTGTTAGCCCCCGTAGTACTCAAGCAAGAGAAATGTCAAATAATTGCCAAATAACCTTCGATCAGAATGAACATGGAACATATTTCACCGGCCAAGTGGTTACCGGAAAGGTGATAGTCAATTTGAATAAGACAAAAAAACTGCGAGGTATGTCGGACATTTCTAGTGTAAGAACTGTTTTGATTTTCGACTACATGAATTACTTAGTCTATGCAGTCCACCTCTCCTATATCTGACTCTTATCTAATCTGTGTTTGTATTTATTTGACTTGCTTTTGTTCTCTGTTTTCGCTTTGTCTTTTTATGCCATTATTTTTGTAATTTACTGATAAGCCGCAGGGAACGCAAATCGATGCACAAAAAAAACAAAAGCACAAAAAATTAGTGTATTATTCAATAAAAACGCGAGGGGAATTACCTCATGATAAGGTGTGGAGTTTGCATCAGGAAATGCCAAAACTTATTTGTCATTTTATGGGTATCTAGAGAAATAACTGGGAAATGTTGAAAAAAAAACCTTTTGAAATTAAAATTTGATATATTTATTTTTATTTTCCACAGATAATTTGATGTATTTTTTGACATTCTAGAAAGTTTTTTCTAAATTAGCTTTTAAGAAGAATAATTCGCTATAAATGAATTATTAAATATTATAAAATGTTTACTTATTGATAATCATAAAAGCAAATTTAAATCAACTTGAATGATATTAAATATTTAATTTTTTACTTATTATTTGCTCATTTTGTAAATTACAATGTAAAATTTATTCATTGACATCTTTTGTGACTTCTTAACTTTATGTACAAAATGTATGGAAAAATATTAATATTTTGACCTTGATTCTTCTAGGCATTAAGCTACAAATCAGCGGCTATGCCTGTGCTCAGTGGCGACGTAAACATGGACGTGCCGTGCCCACTACCCAGCACCATCCGGGACGCAAGCGTTATTTTATGGGTCGAGAGGATTATATAGCATCGACTACATATCTGATGGGCTCGGAGCAGGCGCCGACGACTAACATTGAAGCAGGCACCTACACATACACCTTTGCTTGTCCCATACCCAATCATTGCCCGTCCTCTTTTGAAGGTGTCTATGGACACATACGTTACGTGGCCAAGGTAATGTTTATACGCCCCGGCGCTTCCAATCGCACCACCAACGTGGGCTTCACCGTGCTCAAGCTTCTCGACCTGAACCAGGAGAGTAAAATGCTCCGCGAACCAGCTACCAGCGAAAGCATGGAATATTTTTGCTTCATGCACACCAAGCTGGTCCACATGAAGGTGACGCTGCAGCAGCAGGGCTATGTGCCAGGCCAGTTTATGCTAGTCCATGCGGATGTACGCAACAATTCCAGCAGCGACTGCAAGAAACTCATGATCATGATCTATCTGCATGCCACTTACACATCCGACATGCCCGCCATGCAAATCGTCTCCGAGAAGATTCTGCTGACCAAGCGTGAAGGTGGAGGCGTGCTCCACAATTGCCAGAAATCCTATACTGAATCGTTACGCATACCAGCCACAGCGCCCACCTGCGAGCACCTTAGTAAGGTGGTTCGCGTCTCGTACGAGGTGCGCATCGTGGCCGTGATGAACTGGCTGATGGCTAATCCCAAAGTAATTATACCCATCACCATTGGCAATGTGCCGCTAGCTACGGTTGGGCCGGCCTCTAGGTTTGGTGTAGCATCCGTGCCACGGGACTTGCCCTGTACCTCGGCCAGGGCCATCGAACTGGCCTCAGGTGTCAACAATCCCGGCTACGAGCTGACAGAGGAGCTGGAAGACTACGAGCTGCCCGAGGATGGAGACGATGAGTTTGAGATCGAGGATAACCTTGCACCAGATCTGCGTAAGTCAAATATATATCTGCTCATGTTTATTGTTATAATGACCATACTCTTATGCACGCTCAGAAAGTGCATTATTGATGCATTATTCGCGTTACCTTACCCTTAGATCTCTCTTACTCTAATCAATATCCGCCACGCATATTTTTACAGCTCCACCCACCTACGAGCAGGCCATGTTTATGACCGCCGACATTGCCGATACGGATGCCAATACGGTTAGTGAGGCTACTCGGTTCACCCCGCGGTATCCCGTCTTTGATGTGGATACATTCCAGTCTCCTCCACCGAATCCCCCGCAAAAGAGACGCCGTCGTCGACGTCATCGAGCCGAACAACGTTCGGACAAGAAGGAAGCACCGCAAGGCAAGTTGAGCGGTGAGGAAAAAGAATTCGTGGAATCGCCCGTTGAGATTTGAGAGCTTATCAAATGCAATATCTTATCGCGACAGTATTTATATTATAATCAGCGCAAAATTGTGTTATAGCCAAGCCAGATTGCCAGATTGCTTGCAAAATATCCGTGTGTTTGATAAATAAACAATTATATGAAAAAGTTCACAAAGTTTATAATTCAACATAAAAAACTTATCTACGCTTAAAAAATACACACACAAATACATTTTTAATTTAGCATATTCAGAGTTGAAAAGGTCAACTCATAGTTGATAGATATGAAGATGCAGTAGTTATTATCACACAGCTGTTTGCCAAATATTACATCATCTGTTTATGTTTACACAACATCAAAGTCTACAGAAAAGTTTAACAAATGACGCGAGCAGTGCTAAAGCTTTTTTGTGCTCACTCTCGCTCTCTTTCTCTCTCGTTGTCTGGCTCTCTCACTATTCGCTTTGAGAGACTCATTAATGCGCTCTCGTTTTCGTTTTTGTTTTGGTTTGGTCACTCGTTTATGATGTCACAATGGTTCCGCTCTCTCAAACATTTTATTTTCAGCTCATTTTTTACTGAAGCATTTTATTTGTGTTCCGACTGTTCATTGTCGAGGTATATTTTTCTGCCATTTTGCGTCGCGTGCTTTCTTGCATTTATAGCTGATATTCCAGTGACTTTAAAAATGTTTGATATAACATATAATTTGTCTAAAACAGTGTACGTTTAAGGCATTGCCATATTATTAAAATTAGATTTTCGCTATGCCATCGAATTGTGTTTTTGAATTCGATCGGCCCAATCCGGTGTACTATAGCGGCGAGACAATCAATGGCCGCATTAATTTAACAACAACGAGCAACAAGTCCGTTAATGGTAATGTTAAAAATATTTTTGTATATAATAACTACAACATTAACATAATGAAATATGTAGGCTTTAAAAAATAATATTAAATTTAAAAAGTACTTAAAATTACATATTATTTCCGCACTTCATGTGCTTCTATTCACATTTATTTATTCATATTGTAAGTTTGAGTATGTCCTAATATTATTAATATGAAGACTTTATTAGTAATTTCGAAAAGTATGCAAGCAACGGGAAGAAATTGTATTTCAAATTGATTTTTATATAAAGCTCAAATGATTATTTGGGATGTGTTCCGCTGTTTTGTCAGAACTCGAGCTCTATAGATTATTATTATGATTCATTTGTTTTTGCAAGCAAATCTAATTATGATAATGCCCAGCAAAACAAAAAAACAATTACAAGAGTGAACAAAAATTTGTATCCATATAGTTGATTAGAAACGAGTTTCAAACGATTCAGCATTATGGCACGCTGTTGACAGTGTGCTCTAATTTAAAAATAAATAAAACCTTGAAATAGTTCGAGTATAATTTATTTATTTCATATATGATAATTAGCTATTATGTATAAGAAAGACATAATTATATTAAGAACTTCCTATTAATTTTTATAATAATGAATAACATATGTGTATGTTGCAATTTGAATAAAAGTTTCCAATGTCTAGCAGATGAATACCACTGTGCGAGTCGTGTAAACAAAGTTCAGCCGGCGAATGACGGCACAAAGCGTGAATTGAAAAAAGACAAAGCTCAGCAAATTCATACTCAGCTCAGTCATGTTTCACGAGTTGCATTTTCACTTTTATCTCTGCAGCCGTTTACATATTGTTCGAGGGCGCGGCGAAGGTGCGTTGGGAGGAGCATCGCTCGCGAACCGTCAACGGTAGATCGGAATCCTATACAGAATATTTTCGTGGCAATGAACAATATTTATACACACGGACAGACGTCATTGGCGAGAGCGAACTACCGGCAGGCATGCACACCTATACATTTTGTATACCGCTTCCACTGGAATGTCCGACATCCTGCGTGGAGAAGTATGGCAAGATCGCATACGAGTTGTCCCTCGTAGTAGATCGTTCGTGGCGTTTCAACAATGAATTCAAGCAGCCACTGACCGTGCTGCAGACCTACAACCTCAACATGTATCCCGAGATGCTAGTGGGTACCTTAACTCTTTATTTAAGCAATTAATATACTATATAATTTTCAATATATAATCATTCCAGGTACCGCTCAAGAGTGAGGACATCAAGTACTTTTGCTGCTGGCCCTGTTCCTCGGGCCCCGTCATCTCAACTCTGACTATACCCTTTGGCGGCTATGCGCCGGGTCAGCGCATACACTATGTCCTGCATATAGATAATCAGTCGCACGGTTACGATTTGGAAGGCATCAAAATATCCTTGATACAGATTTACGAGTTTAGAGCTAGCACGCCCTCTTATAAATCTCGCACGCATAAAAATACTCTCTGCTCGGAGTACCAGGCGGAGCATGTGCGTCGTTTGTCCAAGCGCTTGATTAATGCCAGCCTCGTGATACCACCTGTGCCGCCTTCATCCCGGAATCAACGCATCATCAACGTATCCTATCAAATCCAGATGGCCATTAAAACAGGAGGTTGTCACACGGACTCGGAAATCGAGATGCCCATCATAGTTGGCACCATTCCACTGGCTCAGAGTGCCGAAAACCCCAACAATGTCGCCACTTGGATACCTCAGACTCCAGATACGCCCACAGGTGCTGCTGCCGATCTGCCACCGAGCTATGACACCTGCAGTAAGTGGTTGCCGTCGAATATAGCTTCAACTTCTAATAAACCCACCTCCAATTCCTTCTCAGAGCCTCCCTCGTTCGAGCAGGCCACGAACATTGGAGACAAGTTTGTGGATACAGATGTGAATGAGCATAATCGCACCGATGACTTTATACCTCGCTACCCCATGTACACCGACTTCGCAATGCCCTCGGCTCCGCCTATGGATGCATCGCAAGTGCCCAGTGCGCCTGCACGAGAATAAATTAACATAAAACTCTTTTGATATAAGAATAACAAAAATACTCCTTACCTACAAATATTTGGATATTATGCAACTATTTTCTACGTTCTGCATTTACCAGTGTTTACTCAAAGCTTCTGACTTATTGCGAATGTAATTTATATATATTTTATACCAATAAAATAACTATTATTTTAATTAAGCTAAGAATCTTGTAGCATGCTGATAGTGAAAGCGTCGATCTCAGAAACATTTCAAATTTTCTCATCAACGTTTTGGAACACAAAGGAGTTCAGCCATCAGTTATGAATAGTTTGTGTAGAAGCATTTAATGCCCGAGTCACTTCACCTGCTCCACTCATCAAAGAGCGCAACGAAGATGGTTTCTGGTCAACAACTTTGGTCTACACAGTGAATGTATCCAACACCAAATAGCGCAGGTTCTCGTAGCGATCAATCAATGAATTCCAAGCTATTCCATAATTCGGGCAAAGTTAAGGTGGATGAGAGTTGTAGCGTCTTCTTCAGGTGATCTAAGATTGTCAACTTCATTAAATGGTTTAATATGAATATTGGGCAAATGCCAGTTGCTTGTAGGTAACCCTGCGGCTGTCTTTGAACAATGTTGGTTCAAAAAAATTATAAATTTCACAAAAATATATATCGATTCCGTTGATTTTTAGTATATATTGATGATACATGTACCCAATTGATGCTTGATTCGGACGCAGAGCGGGTAGCAGCGCAATTATGAAATAAATAATAAAATACAGTTACATTTAATAAATAAAAGACTAAATTTAATGTTTGTATATATAGTACAGATCTAGAGAACTTTTTCTGCTTCGGCATGTTCCATTTCAAAGTAGAGATAACGTGGTCTAAAATCGAGCTGTTCCCCAGACATCGCGTGCTTATCCTTGTTCAGATTGGTGGCAATCATGAAGTCGGCTTCGCGGAAATGGGAAGCTAATAAATATATATAGTAAATATATATACATTATATCAGTCGGGACTTACCCAGCGAGCTCATGGAGGCGGATAGATTAGGCGCAGCTGGGATAAAGCTGTTTGCTTCCGGGGCGCGACTCGGCGCACTGGAGATGACCACTGGCTCCTGCGTTGCGCTTGGTGTCTTATATATAATGATTGGCATTCGTGCCGAAATAAAACGTTGCGGCTTTTTAGTCTGAACCAGAACCTCCAGTTCGTAGCCGAGCTGCAGACAGGCGCACACGTTAGCTCCCAGCGTAGGCGACGCCTGTGGCACTTGCAACGTGTGCAGATGCTGAAAGTTGAGCAGCTCGTTGCGCGGACACGTGACTAACTGATAGCTGCTGCTGACCAGTTGGCGGCGATCCACTTGCTGCGCTGTGCGCTTGGGCTTATCCAGCTGGTTACCCACATACGTAGTTACCTGATTCAGCTTGTAGACGATCTCCTGCAGAGGTAGCTCCTGCTCGTTGTGCAGCCGTACGTGCACTGAGATGCCCATGCCCGGCTCGTAGCTCGAGCGAGGTATATCAAGCTGCAGCTGCAACGCACGGTGCCAGAACTTCAACGTCGACTTCTGTTCAACGGCGCTCATCTCACTAGGTTGCTCGCCCAGCTGTTGCTGCTGCTGCAACTGTTGACTCGATGTACAACTCAGCACCTGCAGCTGTCGTACAAAGCTCGGCTCCGTTGGCTGCTCCGCACTACGCTGCACATGCAGCTGCAGCATGTAGCGTATGTGGCCATGTAAGCCCTCGAAGCTGCTGGGGCAGTTCGCTGGCAACTGGACACTGAAGTCGTATCGGTAGGCGCCAGCAGCCATTAGCTGCGGCAGCGCCGCCTCCGAGCCCACAAAGTAATCCACCTTGGCAAAGTAGTCGACACGCTGGGCATAGCTAACAGACGTAACGACTTCTGGCTGACGACCCGTCTTATCCTTCTTTGATTTCTTTGGCGTATCCCACGACGTTGACGCGTAGCCATTCGACTCCAAGGAAATCACTGAAAATTATTATGGAAAAACTTTTATAAGTAAGTCACAATTTTGTATATCCCCTGTGGACATAATGTGTGATGGAACTAATCGGAGCTCTACCCTGAATATTTCATGATACAAAACTATGAAAATTATTATCGATTTTATCGATTTGTTACGCGAGTCTTAACAGCTAATCAAGCATGACGAAAATGCAAGAGTGCTAACACCTAATATCAGATCTCTAACTTTAATAAACCAACAGCGAGATATATACTATATTTAATTACTATGCTTGTTTAGACTTTCAAAGGGAGGGTCAAAAGTATATCATTCTGATTCTAACCAAAATGTTGTGTGTGTGACTTCGAAATATGCAGGAGACAATATACATTTCTACACCTTGTGATCGAGTATACAAACAAAATATTTCAGACTTATCTCTCATTAGCACTTTATCAGGGTCTGCTATACCTGATTAAATATATATTAACATGTCCAAGCTTACGCCATAAATAGGAATTTTGCTATACATTAGAGTGTGGTATGTATATTTAAATATACATTCGGAGTTGGTGATTTTCAGCTTCCCTAATAAGCCAATATTCCTGGCTTAAATTCACGAATTACATTATGCATTTCCTTATCTTTTGATTGCTTGGTTTCGATTTGATTGGATCAATGAATGATTCATGCCTCGAGCGCTGCCTTATCGAAAGATTTTTCCGTGACTCACCTTTGATTAGGGCACGCTCCGTTAGAGTTAAGTAAATGTGTCCATTGACCGTTTCGCCGGCATAGTAGACCCCACTGGGTCTTTCCAATTGGATGTCACAGATTTGGCTCATTATGAAACTCTGTACCGTTCGGCTGGCGCGTTCTGTCTGCCGTATTGTTGACAAACGCTGGCCTATTAAACAGGCCTTATCGGTATCATGCATGTCGACTGGTCTGTTATTTAGTGTATTTATCTAATCGGCATTCTCCCTCGCCCTGCTGCGGGTGCCAGCGCCGAGCACTTACTTGTCGTAAACAATTGGCAAATTTAATTAAATAATTGTCATAGTTGCTAAGCGTTGCATATGTTTAGGCGAATCGAAAAGATCTCATAAATTATATATGTATATATATAAATATATATATATTTATTAGATTAATTATATATATATATATATATATATATATATATATATATATATATATATATATATATATATATATATATATATATATATATATATATATATATATACTTAAAGTTAACTCAATTTCATATTGATAAAAAATCGATCCATTCTTTCAATATATTTAATACATTAATTAATAATTATTATTATTATTAACAAAAAAATGCAACTATCTTTTAAGTGTTTGCAATGTTTTGGCAGGTCTATGTTGAGTCCCAAATGATTAGGCTCTAGATACAAAATATTTACTTTAGTTTCCCCTGTTTATATCTAAGCTTATTTTGTTATTCTTGATTTCAATTATGTGAACAAATATTAATTTTGAAATATAAAACTATACTTAAGACCTACTAAACTGGGTAGAATATATCAAATGGTCCTTAAGCCTTGATTATTACACCTAATAACTCTTTGTTTCCCTAAGGAACGTATTTTGTGTTCGAAAGAAAGTATTTTTATTAGTTTCTGTTTAGGTAAAGTTCCTGAAAGGCAGCAAGGCACTAACCTGTATATCTTTCATCAATCCAAAAAAGAATAAAAAATAACTTCATATTAAGAACTTCATTATGCTCAACAAAAAGCAACTATCAGCTCAACTCAAAGCTGTGAACTTCTTAAGAGGCCGCCTTTTATAGTATCAGTATTCATGTCACATGGAATTTTCATCATTATTAATAATAATATTATTATTATAACTATTATTATAATTGTTATTATTATTATTATTAGTATTATTATTGATATTTGTATTATCATTATTATTAGTATTATTTTTCTCGCTTTTAATAAAATTAATGAATTAAAAAAAACTCAGATTTTTAGAACTTTTCATTGTATACGTATTTATTGTCCAATTATGAACGCACAAGTCTTAGTTTAAAAATATTAGGTATAGCTACACATAGATTTAGATATATAGCAATGGAATAATATGCAATAAACAACTTTCTGGCACAAAATAAGTTCGGTTTGATTAATTTTGAATTTCGGATGGCAGTAAAGTATAGTATATATCCCACATATATATCTTTGTATATATAAATGTATACGCATATCTGAGCTATGAGGGCTTCCAATAAGACGGATTATGATACATTCGAAAATATAATTAAGTTACTTAACTCTATACTCTTATGCCTAGTACAATCTTACGTATTATACCACCTTGGATTTTAAGACACTTGCATTTAAAATTGATGCTCTGCCGTAGCATTCAGCTGCTGCTCGCGCTCCTGTTGCTCTATTTCGCACTGCTCAGACAAAGGACCGCACAGCGAGCCGAAGGTATCGAGGCTGCGACCCGTGTGATCCGTATCCAGCGAGCCATAGGAGCGATAGTGATGCATGTCTAGGCCAGAGTCCTCCAGGACCAGATCATGCGCAGGCGCCGTACCCAACAATGTGCTAAAGCCCGGAAATTTAGGCAGGTGAATGCGCGGCTGACTCTCCAGCGTCTGCTGGCTGCCAGCGAGTGTAGCAAAGCTAAAGGAAGGCGGCACTGCCGCGAGACAGAGAGTTACAGAGTAAATGAGCGAAATGGAAAGATGTGGCGGATTCACTCACGGCAACTGTCATATGAGGGCGGCTCATCGTCCTCCAGCGTCTGATGAATCTCTTCGGCTGCTGCCTCTTGGGGCGTCTCCTCCTCTACCGTTGCGGGTCGTGGCTGCACCCGCTCGATCAGACGCTGTCGCTCCGGCGTGGGCGTGCGCCGAGCCGGCTGCCGGGTGCAGGCCATGGCATGCAGATGCTGTAGTGGCGTCGTGCCCACCACAATGGGCACGGAGAGATCCGTGTCGTAGTGAAAGTAGCCGGTCTTCAGCTTCACCTGCAGCGTGTAGTGCAGAAACACAATGTAGTTGGGATTCAGCGTGGAGCGTGGCGTGTCCATGGGTACGCAAATGCTCGACTCGTACATTCGCTTGGAGAGCCGTAGAGTGCGATCCGTTATGATCTCCTTGCAAAGTGTCTTCGTATAGAAATTGCGTTTGACGGGCTTGCGCGAGAGGAACACAAAGTGCTGCTTTATGGACACCTCTAAGGCAATAATGTCGTAGTGCGGCGATTGGTTGTCGATCTCCACGGTGAAAGGCACCTCCTGCAGCGGTGTAAAGCCGGAGGCGGGTAGCGCCAGGCTGGAGCTAATAGGCCCAGAAACACATGGCCAATGGCAGAGGTATTTGATGTTCTCATCCTTGACAGGCAGCTGCAGACGGATATCATTAGAGGTTACTGAATGAACATTGAATGTTTCAATATTCAATCAATGAATAATCTCTTATATGTAAGATCTTTGATGTAACACTAAATTGAATATATTAAAAATCAGAGCTCTGTATTCTATGGATTTGTTGGATAAGTCTCGAAGTTTTACATAATTCTAGCTCGATCAAATCATTATTTAAATCTTGCTCTTTTTTTTTTTTGGAAGATTAGATCTAAATCTATTGATCCGATTTATATTTTGTGTCTTTCAATTTCCTGGCTATCTCAATACGGCCAAAAAGTTTCACTCTATACTTTTAGCTTTCATCTGAATTACTTTTTACGCAGCTGCGTTCTATAATATTTAAGAATTTCATATATAATTCATATGGACAGCAGTTTTATATTTACACACAGCTAATAGTATACCACTATTAATCTCTATAAAACTTTTTACTCGATTATATATTTCCTTTAATTATTTTCTCACTGAATGCCCACCAATGAAATGTGCATAATTTTTTCGTGCCACGTCACTTCACGTCAGATTAAAGGGAAAAACGTACCGCAAATTCCGAGTTGTAGTTAAGATCCAATGTTTGGACTACCATTATGGGCTTGCGGAAGATCTCATCGAAGCCCCACGGCTTGTCAATGGTCAGCGATATATTATACGCTATATAGCCATACGGACCCTTGCAGCTGCTTGGGCAGTCGGGTGGTATACGCAATGTCAACACATAAACATGCACCCCGGCACGGAATAGCGAGTTGTCGAAGACATTGGTGCGTGTGTGTAGATACTGCTGGTGGCCCGAATAGTTCGACGTCTCACTCTTGCCGCTCATGGACCATTGCACCTTGGCCTCGCCTTCCAAAGTAACATAGACGGCTGCAAGGATGGGAATTGAGAGCTTGTTTTGGCCAATTGGTATTGAAAGTGAGGACAACACGCACCATTCACGCGCTTCACCTTATCCGTGCGTAGGAGAATGCGCCCGCTGATGTATTCGCCGCTGTTGTAGACGGGATTCAGGCGATCAAGCTGAAAAACACAGGTGGTGGGCATGGCTAACAAATGCCAGGATGCACTTCACATTACACGGCCAACAAACAAGGGACAAAGCGACAGGAATAATAAAAACACAACCGAACTTTGGCACAGCCAGACGCGCACTGAGCTGCGCCTTTGTTGTGCGTCTGTGTTGCCCTCTCATTCGCTCGCAGCATCCTTGTGCCAAAGGGAAAGCTGGAATGGGGGCGCGAATCAATAAGTTGGCGCCATGCGTCTGTGTAACCGTCTACTGTCTGCTTCTGGTCAAATAAATCAAAGCAAAAATGCGTTACCAAATGGAGCAACGCTTTGTTGCTTGCGTCCCTTTCAGTTTCTTTGTTTGTGCGGCGCCCAAAACAAAAACAAAACAAAAACTAAGGCGACATCAACTGCGCCCCAATGGCGAGGTCAGCTTCATTCTGATTCTCATATTTCTCAATTCTCAACTCGCAGCTTGTACACATTTTGGCGGCAATAGACGCAGGCTCGATTTAAATGAGCTTCACACCATTTAGCTAGCCAACATTGCTGCCACAAAACGTGGCAACAACGTTTTACAGCCTCAGCGAGCACTGCTATAGCTCCTCTGATAGCCCACTTGCTTTACTCAATTTACTGTAGATAATTGTGGCAATGAGCTCGCCTTGACCCGTTCCTACAATATGGCTTCACGTATTTGATTAGGGCCCTACAGCAAGCACAACAGATAGAATGGGGCTACGCTTATTTATGGACGCATAAAAATCAATGGCAAATCAATTATTGCTCTATAAAAAAGCAGAAAGTTAATCCCAAAGTTTAACTGTTGTTAAAGTTATTAGATATTATTTTAACTGTTATTTATTAAGTATTGTCATCATCATCAAAATTATTGTCATTAATATCACCATTATCAATCTCAATATTATTACTATAATTTTCAATATATTTATCATTATCATTGATGGAATGGATGATCGGACTTCCAGTAGCCAATCCTCTCCCTGCCTCCACGATAGGCTCCATTGCAGGGTGAACTATATGATATTCAGTAGAACATAAATCTGTAGTGTGACATCTTCAAAAGTGAACTGCACATCCGAGCCAAGTTAACAGCTGTGAGTATCCTGAATGTCGATATACGCTGCGGCCTATAAGTGCTGCCTAAAAGTTAGTGCACCAAACAGGCTACAGCAAGTTGCAGGTTTTGTGATTCTATAAAATCAGTTTACAAAGATGCAAGCTGAAGTCTGGCAACATACAAAAACAGACTGGAATTGAAAATTGCACAGGACCAGGCCCAAAGCATTAAAAAATATCCTAAGGCAAGTGCAGCAGAAGGAATTCCAGCTTATCACTCAACAAACAGTAAAAAGCAAAGCCGACGATTCAGCAACATGACAGTAGTCAGCTGGTCCCTCCCACGCAGCAACGACATAAATATTTTTAAAATTAAATAGATGCAATAGAAGATTTGCTGATTTGATAAAAGATTGGAGGACTCCACTATCAGTGCTCCTGACTATATTGCAAACACTTTTCAGATTAACTGTCGGCGAAACTTCTTAGCGTCCCCGTATATTTGGGATAAAAGCAAATTGGAGCCGGAAACAAAAGCGACTATTAGCAAGGAAACGGTCGAAAGAAAGTGAAATGCTTGAAATAAGCGGAGTAGATACACATGAGTCGATCTTAGGAACAGGCCTCTGAAATATGATAGGGCTGCAAATGCCAGAAGATAGCTTATTGGATATGCATTTGACATCGCGGTCATCAGTGCCGCCGCAACGAAAACTTACACATGGTCCACGCGTAGATTAGCTCCCAGGGCTTTGAGCTTGATACCCAAATAACAGATACTTCAGATAATACGAGATGTAAAGGCGAGTAATCTGAGATATGGATACAAAGCACAATAAGGGTAAGGACAAATTAGGCAGAAGCTAATACTATCGGTACAAAAGGCAGCCTTAATGAAAGATTATGGCCTCCTGAACACCAAAATGATCATAAATGTTGTACGGGAGATGAAGAGCAGTGGCTAAATAAAAAGTGGCTAAAAGAAATAAAAAAAATAAAGAGTCATTGTTTTTTTCGAAGCTGCATTTAGTGGAAAACCTTTCTTTTATTTCTAAAGCTGGATAGCAGAAAGGACAGATATGGCAAATTATCGATTAAGTTAAAGCAGACCCCAATGCAGCGAATGTGCAACAGCAAAAATGCTTAAAAATCAGTCTGTAACTGTGATAAGGTGGGACATGGACACAGAAACGCAGAAACGCAGATGACAGATAACAGTGATCAGTTACACCATATAGAAGGGATTTACTTTCAAGGCTTATGCGGTATTACGCCTGGTTCCGAACTGCTAGGCAGAAGAAAGAGGAATGAGGATCTGGTTAATGCTTTTTTTACTATTTTTATGATTAGCATTATTTTAATATCAATATTAATTATAAGTTTAATTTGATTAATTTAACTCTTTAAAATAGTACAAAAAAAAAAAATATATATATATGATTATCATAAATTTTATTTAAAGTTTGTATAATTGCAACTTTTTAGGGCTTTATATATACGAACTTGACTGTTAATGAAATTTAATCAGTGAAGTATTATTTGCTTATGCGAATACTTATCAAGCGTTGATAAATTCTTTGCAAATATGCAGATATTCTATAACTTGGCCCAAAATGTGTATATATAAGCGATATAAATAAATTTCAATCCAGGCTAGATAGTATATTATCAGGAAAACTATTCACGATGATTTCGCTTGAACTGATATATTTAAAGAGCTGCACGTATTGATTTCAATTAATTGAATACTTGCAGCTCACAACACCTTTGTTAATTAGCAGGTAACAGATTTATACAGAAATAGCGCAAAGCTAAACGCACGTACGATCGTCTCTTCTGGCGTCTCAACAATTTAAGCTGCTCGCCGTGCCTGGTAATGCTCGATACATAGAGTTCTTTGGAACAGCTGTGTGGCGGCAGCTGTTGATTGATTGATGAAAACGAATCATTTTCACACAAAGCTGAAAAAAATGAAAACGATAAATCTTTAGTATGTCAATGTCGATGACTAAAAACCTATATAAATGAGTAATAGATCTATATGCTATATCCATTTATATAACATCTGATTTTGAGCAACTTTCTTATGGAATAGTCAACGAACATTATAGATTTAGTACATATTTATGAGGATAATAGCATAATTGATTGGGTGAAAATGTACTACGTAAAGAAATACATAAAGTTAAATTAATATAGAATAATGGCTTTTATTTAAACATTATTTAAAATGGTGCATATTAAGTATGCATATTAAGTATTAAGACAGCTAGACTAGATTATACCCAAAAGAGCTGCGCTTTGACTATAGATACTAATAATGAAATATATGTGTATGTATTTGCCAAAGACATGCAAACCAAAGACACAAGACACAAGTCTCTAGTATTTTAAATAAGTTTGTGAATTTGAGAGAAAGGGAGATATATATATATAAAATCCAGAATATAAAACATCTCTGTTTTCATCACAGAAGCATACACTGTAAGTCTGTAAAGTCTGTAACAATTACGGTACTCAAACTATGCTTAAGAAACAAAGCAGAATTATCGATTCTTATCGATTTTTACTGAATGTAGTATTCACGAGAATTTTAATTTAAAATTTGTATTCTCTAGCTTTGTGACCTACGAGATCGTTGCGTTCATACGGACCGAAAGACGGACGGTCAGATAGACACACATGGTTATATCGATTCAACTCATCGTCCTTATCACTAATAAATATACACTATTTGCTGTGCAACGCCTTTTTCTGTCTATTACATACATTTTCACAAAACCAATATACCCTGAATTGCCATTTTCAATGGGCGTAGGGTATAAAATAAGCCAAGACTCTGAAACAGAGTATAAGACTTGTGTAAACATCGCTTAACCATGCGTCAAAGTCTGTCAAACACTCACCCAAATTGACGAAACCGAGCGTAGGACCGTTTGTTAGACTCGCTATGACGTCAACAGGTGGCGCCACTGTGCCCACCCACAAAGGCAAACGCAATGGCTGACTGCAGCTGGTGCTGGCCGCCTCCACAAAATAGGTTATCTCGATGGGCTCGCCTGGCAGCTTAGTCATAATTGGCGCAGTTAGCGGCAGATGGAGGACACCAGTCCTATCTGAGTTCTCGTCGAGGACACGACGCACACGCTTCTCTTTAAGTGCGGGTTCTATGCTGCGATAGGTAATCGATTGGCAGAGGCGGGTGTGGCAAGTGGCATGTGGCTCTGTGGTATGCAACTGGTAGCTGACCCGTTGGCCAGGTGCGTAGATGCTGCGTGGCAAACACAGCTCCAAGCTGCCACTAGAGCTGGTGGCAGGTTGCAAATCGAGTAGCTCAATGCGTTGCTGAACACACAAACTGCGCTCAAAATGCTTGTCATGTTTGCCACGACGTTGCAAGAGCACTTGCAACGTGTAGCTAGTGGAGCCTAGGGGCAAGCGGCATTTGCCAGGCAAGTCGCAAGGCAGCTCGAAGCCAAAGTTGCAGCGCTTCTTGCCACCCGAAGGCAGGTTCAGTGCATGCGTCAGCTGCTGCGCCTGCTCCCAGTGCAGCTTGTTGCATGCATAGCTAATGTAGCCGGGCTGCATGGTCGCTTCGCTGTCATTATGCTCGACGTGGTGCAAGCAGCCGTCTACCTCTTGCCAGCAAACTGTGCTGCGACATCTTAAGCTGATGCTGAGCGCTGTTCAAGTTGAGAGCAACGTTATCGAGTCTTATCAGAGGCATGTAAACATAGTAAAAACATTTGCCAATTGAACTCACCTTCCAGATGCAGCTGCTTCTTGCCAGCGATCAGAGTTACGAAACCCGAAACTTGTTCGCCAGTGTAATATACCGCTGAAACACGCGACAAATGAAATTCACAATTTATGGGCATTATCCAAATTACAGGGTTTTTAGAATAAGCAAAAACTTAGCTCATTTGCGGCACGCGATAAAATTGAAGTGCGAGCTGCTCAGCAGACGATGCGCGAGTGACAACGACAACGACAATCGACACACGACAACGACAACGACAACGACAACAACTTTGGCAACTTTTTTTTTTTCAATTGTTTATGAAAATATAAAAAGCTAAAGATAAAATTAAATTTACGATAGCGCCAAGTCCCTCCACGCTATTATATAAAAGAATATTATTTTTATTGGAGATTAGCCGTGGTTTCTGTCTTAGATTTTTCACAACCTGTTGACAAGCCAACCTGAATGCGTTTAAACAAACAGGTTTAAATAGCTTGTGCACCTGTTTTTCACGATGCCAGTAAAAGTAATTTTTTTTGACAACTTACTGAAGGAAAAATAAAAAGTCTTCAACTTGAAGCTGCTCTCATTTGATAATAGCTCAATTTAAAAAAAAATTTAATTGAACGTTCTCTCACACAAGGGTTAAAGTTGAAGTTTTAGCTGAGTTTCACAGACTAAGTGAAACTTTTTCACAACTTCGATTAACTATCTAGCATTAGGGACCTTTTTTATAATAATATTTATATATTTAATATATATATATATATATAATAGGTATTAAATAGTTAGTAGCTTTGTAAAAGAATACATTTTAAAAGATAATAAATAATAATAAAATATAATTTAAAAACCTATGGGAACCTATTAAATTTTCTGAAAGACATTGTTTGCAAATGCTTACGCTCACTCACACATCAAATTTAATGAGTTAAGTTTCTCTAATTTCTGTGTTCGAATAGACAGTGAGAGCTGTGTATTGTTATACCTCAGCCACTGTTGAAATATACTGAAAATTAACTTATATTTGTAAGCACTAGAGCTGATTAGCACATCTATCTGCTTTATATATTTCCTGTCATGTGATTGACATGAAATTAGCCTGATTTTAATTAATAGATAAACAAATATATATAATAGACTAAATATTATACTGGAATATAAATAATTTATTATAAGTTCTAACTTAATTAAGTTCTAACTTAAGGTATAAAAAGACATTTGGAATTAAAATAAAATTTGAATACCCACAAATAAAACTTTATTGCCGCCTTAGCAATGCTCGTTTTATTTACATAATGATAATGACAATGAGATTTGTTTATACTTGAAAGCAAGTACCTCACTTACCCAATCAACGGTTTGCTCCAGAATCCAGTCTGAATAGTTCATTGAGCTCACTTGAAACGAGCTGAACAAAAAAAACACATAAATTTGGATATACATATAATATATATATTTATATATATCGCTCCATTTTGGTTGAAATTTGAATTAATTGAAGACAGAATATTGCTTAAGCTTAGTTACTGGTTAGACTGGTTACAAATCAGGGGAAGTATACACGAGTTCATAAACATATAATAGTTTTTCGAATTTACCGTAAAGATAACTAAATTTAGATACATTATACTATGTACGATGCTGATGTGCTAGGTAGATAAATATCAGACAAATATATATTGAGAAATACGTTTAATTAGGACTTGGGAGTTGGACATAAAATCAATTTGAAATTTAAATATAGTTTAATACTTGGCTAATTTTAGTGTAAATTTCTTTAATAGACATTATAAACATTGAAAATGTTAAGTTTGTTGTTGTTGTTGTTTTGGTAAAATTGTGCAAATTGTTTATATATTTCGCTTAATCCTAAATGTTTTGACTAAGTACGGTTTAACTACGTTAATTACTTTATAGGGTAAGTATCATCGTATATCATAAATAGTAAGGATTCCTTTTAAAAATCAAATTAACAATTGATTTACATTCATTAGAACTAGGGTCTGCCAATCAAAGTAATATAATAAATATGGAAAAATAAAAATAGTTTCATTTCATTGCTTAATTGAATGTTAATTAGATTTTGATTAATTTATGCGCTCCACATGAATGTTTTTTTATGTAACCGGTTTGCAAAATAATTATCTATTGTGAGATTCATTAGACTGCTAAAATATTTTATCCAGATCAGACTTAAAAACTATATATGCGCCAAGAAATTCTGCATTTTCTTTTTAGACTAATTCGACTTTGAGATTTTGATTAAATATGTTTTTGTTGTTTTTGCTGTTTTGCTGTGGCTTCACTTTTTCTCGCAGTTCAATAGATCCGCTGTTCCTTGGGCAGGCGTTCCATTCTCATCCGTTTCCTGTTGCGCTGCGTATCGATTTTGCGTATTCGAGGGTTCACTGTAGAGCGTCTCTGTTGTTCAAATGAAGCATGTATATGGGGCACGGGGTTTGGGGGAAGCGGTAACAAAAGAATAAATTTACAAATTGAGTATATCTGTGAGAGCCTTGGGCTTGGCTTAAAACTAGAAGAAATTTGTTTGGATTTCCAGAATAAAAATGCAAAACTAATTAATTAATGTGAATAAACACTTATTGCGTATCGAAAAATATTATTTAAATTATATCATCAACTTAGTTGCTAAGCACAAATTTAATTATTTGCTAATTTCAATATCATTTTTATATCATATATATTTGGTTTATCAATTCAAAAAGTTGTTAATGAATAAAATCAAACAGAGCATACATACTTATTATCGATATATGAATAGATTTTGTTATGGAATATAGATCATAAATGTAAATATTTATATATTTATATATACGACGTGCATTTAGTTAAAGGAATAAAATGTTATTCGATATGATCTGCAAGGCATTGGGGCTTGAAGCTCAGGACAGATGTGAGAAGCGGAACGAATCAGAAAAGTCTTCAAAACACTTAGGAATAGATAGAGTAGATAATACACATAATTTTAGAATATACTTAGCTATATGATGTGTATAATAAGTTCAAAAAGTAAATTCTTATTTGTCAAGCAGACAACTAGACGTATACTTCATATTACGTACATCTTGATAAATCAAGATTTTTCAATCGGACTTAGTTGAGGCATCTTTGCTTTTACCCATCGCCTTGCAGCTCTTGAGATTATAGAAAAATTGTTCTAACTACTTTGAAAATGGAATGGAATAAAAGAAATAGATTTGAATAAAATGCCACTCAGCCATTCAATTTGTGTAGCTTTGCTTTCGATTTTCGTTTTTAACAGTTCTTTTTATGCATTTTTTTTTGTTTATAACAATTTAGGTTTATGTGTCGGATTCAGTGGAATCATCACTACCGGGCGGTATGGTCGGTGTCTCGTAATCGTAATAGACCGGGTAACGCGGTTTAAAGGGCTCACGCTCACTTGTTACGTCGCCCTGAGCGGACAAAATGCTGCTCATGCTAACATTTGTCAGGAATTCGATATCATCGCTAAACTTTTCGCTCAGAGCCATGGCATCTTCATACGAGGGCGGCACTGTAAAATTGTATGAAATATAAATAAGGAATGGTTAAAATTTGCAAGATATAATAAATTATTTGTTGAATTAATTTTAGTATTTATATATCTATGCTTTTTATAAAAAAATTAAGTGTTTTGTTTGTACCCTCGTTAGCTTTGCTTTTGCTGTTCTTTGCTCCGACGCTATGGCAAAAGATTATACCTTAAAAATATTTATAGATTGATCTTTAGTATATAAAATTTTTTTTTCATCAAGTTTTAAACAAAGTCAACTCTTTACCCTAATCATTATTCTTTACACTATCATTAAGCTCATGTAGAATAATTTGGTTCTTCATTAGGTTCCTTTGTAATAAATCTTATAGGCCTTAGCAATAAATTTAAGTATTACAAGGATTTTTATAAGTTTTATAATTTCTGAAAACTTGTAAAGATCTCAGCTAGTCTGCAATGCTTGCCTTAATTATGAGTATCCTCACTTTTCATGATAATTAGCATAGGATATATATTTATATTTATTTAAATATAGGATATATAGGATATATAATATTTTGACTGCAACAACTTAATGCGCCAGCTTGAGGTTATTGATGAATAGTTAATATGAACAATTGTTTCATTGTTCATTAACAATGAAATCCTTTCAAATATCAAAATGTAGTAATCAAAATTTTCCTTTTATAACAATAAATATGTATATCACTGCTTAGCTATCCTAATAGTAGTATATATTTTGGAAAAATAATCACTAATTATGCTCAAGTTAATACAGAATTGAATCTTCAGCGGTTTACTAAATCATAATTTCTTATATAGAAATATAAATATCTAAAATATCTATATAGTTTAGCTTTTTTATTTTCTTACTCATGGGTATATAATCTGGGGGACTATCGCTATCGCTGGTCACTAATATCGCTGGCATGGCGGCCATTGGCCTCAGGTCGGCAGTCGTTGGCATTGATGAGGGACTCGATTGGGCCGGCAGTATTGCACCAGAGCGTTGCATGGCCTGTGTTGCCTGATTGTTGTTGTTGTTGCTGCTATTGTTGCTGCTATTTTGTAGGCTGCCGCGCTGCTGTGGTCGCTGCTGCCTTTGGTTCTGCTGCGTTGAGATTTGTAAATGTTGGCTAACTACTTGATGCTGCTGCTGCTGACGATTGAAGCGGAGCAGAGCATCGGGTCCATCCATGATGGGTATGCTGCCGATGGTCAGCGGAATTTTGAGTTTCAGTTTCCAATGGAACTCGGTTGGATTCACAATGATCTTAATTGAATAGTTAACGCTAATGGGGCAGGTCGGCTTCACCGATGTCGGTGGTATCGAAGGCAAATCCAAAAAGCCCCTATACACCTTTCTCGACCATCGCAACACGTTGCCGAACTGCTTTAAAGCTATCAGGTGTTTGTCATAGCGATACTCATGTTGCGGATCGTGCGACTCATAGCTAACCTCCTGCTTCAGTTTCACCTCGCACTCGGTTATATCAATCGACGACTCGTTATTGATGTACAGTACAAAATGAATCTTCTGGCCCGGTGCATAGCCACAGTAGGGTGTCGAGAACTTCACTGTGAGCGGCCCGGTTGGACAGCAAAAGCTCCAAAAGCGTTTGCGATCGAGTATCTCCAGAGGTACCTAAGAACATACTTCATACATCAATCTGCAAATATAGTTATGATTTCTACGTACTCTGTAGATGGCATCGGCGTTTAGGTCTAATGGTTGTATCACGGTAAATGGCAGCTTGAACACTTTCGGATAGCGACCCGATCGCTCGATCGTTGTTATGATCTCATAGTGTATTTGGCCATACTTGCCGTCAAAGGATGTGGGCAGATTATCGGGCAGTATGACATGAAACGTGTACGAATATTCGCCGGCCAGCCAATCGATGCACGAGTTGCCCGCACAGGAGCCAAGGACATACGATCTCGATGACAGATAAGATCGATAGGCACGGCACATGGCGCGTTCGCTGTCCCGCGGATATCCCTTTTTTATCCAGCGTATCTTGGCATAACCGCTGACGGTGACATGAATGCCTGTAAAAGTGAGAAACAGAAATAGCGGAAGTGAGATGGCAGATGAAGCAAATATAATAATAAAATACCTTTCAGGTTAGGAAGGCTAAGATGATATGAACTGATGCAAATAGAATATGAGTGCTATGACGTTAATTTCCTTAAAAAATAACGGAAAAGGCTAAACACTATTTGAAGGACACAATCCTTAGATGTTGTATAAGCAATGTTTTATATCTGAATGAAAGCAAAGAACTGTAAATTATATAGGATTCCTCTCAACATCTTCAGAACACCGAAAGCGAATATCTACATCACTTAAGAGACTTACTTTACATTTGTATATCTTTTTTAGTATTTGAAAGATTTTATATTCTGGTTAATTAAGTTTTTCTTTTCATTTCCACTTTTCGTCTTTTTCTCTCTTTCATTCTCCCTTGCTATTCAACCTTTCAGTAAACTAATCAAGTGAAATGTCAGACGAAAAACTTATTACCACAAAATTAAAATGCACACGGACAACTTTATCGTCATCATCTGCAATGACAACAACAACCACGATGACAACGACAACGAAAACGACAACAACGACAAATGAATTGCACTTACCACGCCTTTAACGAGTTCATGGATAAATAAAAAATGGCGGCATGCCAAAACAGACGCCAAACACAAACGGACAACAGCAACAAACACGACAGCGTAAGCGAGAGCAAGGCAGAGAGATGGACAGAGACAGAGAGAGAGCGAAAGAGTGCAAGGCAAACAACTAACTGTGCAGCGTGCAAATAACGGTAACGAGCTGGTCAACTCAGCGGTGACAGCAGCAACAACAACAACAATGTCATCAACAAGAGCTATAACAACAACTATTAATTGCATAGCATATTCAAAATGGCGACAATTGTTTAATGATAAGTTTTAATAAGAACAACACAGCGCGTGTCCTTCGACGTTTGAAATGTGCTTTCGGTGCAAATGTAATATGTGAGTAAAACAATATATTACTCATACGCCGCATGAGTCATGTGTGTGTGTGGCTGTTAGGTTAGGTTAGTGTAGGGTATTGACAAGCTGACATACCTTTAATGCGCTTGGTGGCATCGACGCTAAGATCAACAACACCAGATAGTTCCTGTCCGGCATAGTAGACACCTTGTGGATTATTATCAAATGATATAAGGCACTCAATGGGCATATATTGCTATATAGTTTGCGTGTGTGTGTGTGTTCCTATGTGTATGTGTGTGTTTGTGTTTTGTACTGTGCTAAAAGCAGGCCACAGTTGTAAAATATCACGTTCGTTTTTGGTTATGTTACAATTGAATTGAAAAATTGTTAAATATTTAGTTGCCTATCAAGCCATTTGCTTTGTTTCGTTTTTGTTTTTGCTGCTGCACTGCATTTTTTCACTTCTGCCCCGCCGCATACACACATGCAACCGATGTCTGTAACGCTTTTTTCACTACTAACAACAGCAACAACAACAATGGCAAAAAACGCTTTTACGAGCGACCTCAAAAGAAATTTTTTCCCGTAAAGCTTTCGTCTTAACCCACTTTATTGTTGCACAAAGTCGCAAGCCGTTTTTACGCACAATCACATCAAGCGCGTTACTATAAATAACTGTTATTTAAGCTTTTTCGTATTCAACTTATTTTTGTATTATTAATTTCTATTCATATGTGTTTGTGTTTGTGTCTGTGACTGTGCGTGTATGTGTGTGAAAGTGTATGCCCCGCTTTAGCCTTTCTCTATATATTCTCGCTTGCGCTCCGCACTCTATGCGCTTTGCTTTCGCACACGTCCAGCTGTCGCTCTTGTTGAATTTGTTCTGTGAGCTCGTTGTGTTCGCATTCGGAAGTCATGCAGCTGCCAGGACAAAAGCACCCATCCAGACTTGTCGCGAAACGCACAAAAACAACAAACAGAAGTATTAGCTCTCACTTGCTATCGCTCTCTGTTTCGCAAGTGCCTCACACACATGCGCTCTTTGTGTTTTTCTTTCTTCACAATTTCGCGGAGTTTTTAAAGTTTTAGTTTTTTGTTTGTATTTCAATACGATTAAATAAATAAATATATTTATATTTTATATTCGTTTTTATGTACTTTATTAACAATAATATTTAATAAATTGATGGCCTACTTTTAGGATTAATTCAACGAAGCAGTCACATTCACACAACTGTTGAACAACAGTGGCTTTTTATTGTTTTTAGTATTTTTTGGTATATTCTAAGTAATTATATTATTGACAGGCTGGCAACTCTACGTATTTCAGCAGCTGTTTTACTTATCGCTAGATTACGGCGAATAATAAACAAAGTACTTCAGTGTAATAAATAAAATTGACCTCTGACAAGTACGTTGTTGCTAATTTAAGTAAAACTAACGCCACTTAAATATTACACAACCCCTTCCAACCACAGTGAGACTTTTGCAAGTTTTGCGCACCATGAACCAAAAAGCTGCTGTCGGACAACTTTCAGGTGAGATTTGGATTGTGCCGACTACAATTTTGTAGAACTTTCTATTATTAAACATTTTTAGCGCTGCGCTTGAAATACCGTGAGCGTAAGGATGCGTTTCTGGAGGAGAACATAAAGGTTAAAGATCCATTTTATATATTCCGCGACTGGCTAAGCGACGCTCTCAATACCGAGGAGATCCTCGAACCAAATGCCGCAGCCTTGGCAACGGTAAATGCTGCGGGCAAACCCTCCAATCGCTTTGTCCTTGTAAAAGAGGCTACTGCTGAGGGTTTCACATTCTTCACCAACTATGGCAGTCGCAAAGCCGAGGAGATTGCCAGTAATGCCAATGTTGCCATTGCTATCTACTGGATGCCACTGCGTCGCAGCATCCGCATCGAAGGCATCGCCGAGAAGATCTCTAAGGAGGCATCGCTTAAATATTTCCACGAGCGTCCACGCGCCAGTCAAATCGGAGCCGCTGCTAGTCCGCAGAGCCAGCGCATACGCTCACGCAGCTATCTGGACGAGGTGGAAGCCGGAATCAAGGCCACACTGGGCGAGAATGGTGAGGTGCCACTACCCAATTGGGGTGGCTACCTAGTGCGTCCATCGCTCATCGAGTTCTGGCAGGGACAAACGGATCGCCTGCACGATCGCATATGCTTTCGACGTGGTGCCGGAGTCTTAGACGAGGTGGATGGAGAGTTAGTCCACAAGGGCGAGAATGAATGGGTCTACGAGCGATTGGCACCCTAAACAGAGAGAGAGAGATAGACAGCGAAAGAGAGAGACAGAGAACAGATGAGATTTATGTGCTGCGCAATTGTTATGTCTTCCAAAATGATTAATGAAGTTTAAAAGATAAAAATTTAAGAAAACTTAGTAAAATATCAGAGATCTAAGAGGAGATGCTTTAAGTGGATTATAAAGAAATGCAGAATAAAATATAGGTCGTTAAATATATGGATTCAAAACTAATTTATCTATTTTAGGTTGAGTAAATCATAAGTTATATATAATCTCGACACTATATAGACTTTTCCCATTTTAGAGGTAGCAATACAAAACTCACTTGATTAACTCAAGTCAAATGATATGAGTTGGCTTTAGCATCTGCTTAGCTTTCAAAATTGTATTTGAAATTAAAAAAAAAAAAAGTTAAATCCCTTTGGGTACGGTGCACTTGTGATTATAACAGATGAAACTCAGACCGGCTATAAGGCAGAGGCTCCGGGGTGTGGCAGCTGCGCGGCATTTGCTGTCGCCGCGCAGCCGTGGACAATGTGCGATGCGTAATGTAGCCAAAGACGATCCCTCACCAAAGTCGGACGGCTGGCACAACAAGATTGCCATACGTGAGCCGTATCTCATACTGCATCATTGGCTGTCGCATGCACTAGAAATGGAGCCGCAGAGAAATGCGCGAGTGGCTTGTTTGGCCACGGTGGATGAGGCTGGGCAGCCGGTCACGCGAATGACCAGCGTCGAGCAGATAAACGCCTCTGGACTAACATTCTATACGGCGCTGGGCAGTCGCCTGGCGGGCGAGATCCTTTCCAATCCACACGTCTCATTGCAGATGTATTGGCCTCATTTGGAGCGCAGCGTTCACATTGCCGGGACTGTGAGTCCGGTGTCCGCCTTGCAGGCGCAGTTGCAGTTCAGCCGCTATCCGCGAGAAATGCAACTTAGCATGCACGGCATACCAACTAGGAAACACAGTCTACTCGGCAAGATCAAGAAGTATCTATCTCTGATCATCAGCGATCATCGCCTTCCAAAAGTTCCTGTGCCTCCAAATTGGGGCGGCTTCCTTTTAACTCCCACTCTATATGAGTTTTGTCGCACCTGCATTAAGACGCCGGGAAGGCAGTGCATGCGTTTTCGACGCTGTCTCACGCTGCCGCGTGTAAGTCGAGGTAATTCTGGTACAGTACTCTCCAAACACTAATTGATTTTCATTGATTTAGGGCATGCGAAATGAAACTGTCAAAGCGGATCGTTACGATTGGGTCTTCGATAGCAGCAATAATTAGGAAAGTTGAGAATCTGTGTTAGTTGTAGTAAATAAATTCGAAATAAATTTCTATGTGCAAAAATTAAAAATTCAATATTTGATTTGAGGTTATATCTGAAATCGGGCATTGAAAATGGTGCCGCTACAAATGAAATACGAACAGGACGTAATTTAAAATTTAATAACTGCGAGCAGGTGGCAGAACACCTACTCGCACCCGTAAATATAGACGCACTCGGATAGAGACTTTATTGTGGAACTGCAGCCAAGCGCAAAGAGTAATGCCCCACGGGATGTGCAAGTCTCAAAACAACAACAATATCAACAGTGAGCATAGGCAAGTCGACAGCAAAGTAAATAACGAAAGCCCATGCAAAGCGCAACACCGGAAAAAAGAACAACAAGAGAAAAAAGCTTAGCCCATAACTGTCTGCCTAGCGGCTTGTGACTTTTTGTGTAGGCGAACCGCACCGTCCTTGCTTTGTTCGTTCCGTATCTCCCTCCTGTATAAGGCCTCTACTGTTTACTTTGTTGCCATTTACGCTTTACATTTTATTCGGCTTGCGTATTTTTGTTTTGCTCGCTTCATTTGCATGCCTGTAAGCTTTGCTTTTGGCGGCCGCTTTGTAAAGCTTCACACACGCTATGTGCGGCAAAGAGAGCAGGCCAGTGAGAGCGGATATTTAACTTGGGTTGGGGCCTGTGTGCTACTGTAAGAAGGTTACGGAAAAGGCAGAGAGCACAAAAACTTGTTGGATGAAGGCTATTGTGCTCTCATTGTGTAGAGTTGCCTATGTTATAAAATATTAAATTCCATATTGATTAGAAAATGGAGATAATAATATTTCTGGTGTTAAATAAAATTTTAATTATTAACTAAAAAATTATCACATGAAATTATATGTGTATAAAGTTTTTAAGGCAATTCAACTTTCAGGCTGCTTAAATAGTGAACAACTAAAGTACGCGCATTAATTGATTGTTTTGTGCAGTCATACAACTTGGCAACCCTCAAAGGATAACGGCGTGCGTTGCTCGTACTAGCAAGCATAAGTCTACGCCGCGTTCGTTGGACGCCAGCAGTGAGGGTTGCGGACTCGTTCAGTACGCCGCGCGGCTCAGGCTCAGCAAGCAGTTCGCAATTTGCAGTTCGCAGCTCGTAGTCAGGTCACCCAGCGAAATATACAGCAGCTCTACAACGATAATTTAAGTCTAGCACAAAATTCAGCAATAATTTCCAGCGGCATAACAACATAAATTTTTGTACATTCCATAAACAACGCTAAAAGCAAATAATTTGTATTGAACTAAATGGAACTATGAACTGCTTTTTGTGTACGAACATTTTTGCTAGTGTTTTTTCTAAGTGTAGCTTAATGAGTGTGCGTTAGATAAATGGCTTTTCCAATTAAAATAAAAATAGTTAGTGTTGCTTAATTAAATATATAATATACAATATAATTACCACATATACGTACATACAATTTGGTGTGCAAATATTTTTGCTAATTTTATTGCAAATGTATACACTTTAGATTATAATTAATAAAGCTTTTAATTGAAATTAACGTATTTTCAAAGCAGAGCAGCAGGATAACTGTTGAAAAGTAACGGAAGGCGTGTTCGTTCTATGTATGTGTATGTGTATGTGGTGTGTGTGTGTGTGTGTGTGTACGTGTGTGAGAGTTGCTCAAACAAGCTGTATATGTGTGTGAGTGGACTTTTACATAAGCAGCGCAGCATGACAAGCGGCGACAGCGTCTGCAGCAGCGACGGCGGCGACAGAAGCAGCTCAAACGGCCACCTGCGGCTACTTGACGGGTACCCCACAAAGGGTTCTCATTTTATATAACTGTAAAGAGCTCCGCAACGTGACTGCTAAAACGTTGAGCGCGAAACGTGCAACGTGAAACTTGCTTTGCAGCAACGACTACAAAGCGAAAGTTAAACGACAACTCTGAACAATGGCTAACTTAAAACCCAATACGCTGCACGTGGACAACTTGAGCCCGCGACAGCGCAGCTTGAGCAGCGGTCTGAGCAGTGCCTGCAGCTCGGGCAGCGTATCCCCCGTGCCCATCATACCGATCATTTCGATAAGCCGAGATGGCGAGGACTCGGAGACAGAGTCCGAAATTGAGACGGAGCCGGCGCGCATATTTCATCGACGCATGTCCACCAGCAGCAAGCGCAACAACAATATGGTAGGTATCCTATTAAGCTCTTCTTCTTCTGCCTCCTCTCGTTGTTTATTATCCTTTGCGCTGCAGTCGAAGCAGCACGTCAGCATTAAAGTTTCTGGAGCGGAAGTTACATGCCCTGCCATGCAGACGCACTCTGTCGTACATGTATGAACTAGATGAGAAGTACCAGAGCGCGGGCGATGTGCCAGCAGGGCAGGGAGGCAAGCGCTACATTGGAGTGTTTGTGCTTGTGTTTGTGCTCTAGCTAAAGGTCAGCACACAGTTGTTGGGTTCAAGTGGTTAGTAAATATTTTAATGGTCGCATAAGCAAACGTGCTTTGCCAGTTAGAGTATATGCCTGACATGGGGGACTATCGCCTATATTGCATTGCTAGCGCGAATTATGAAAACTAAGGTCAAGGGTTACAAAAACCATAAAACAAGTTAGCCCAAAAATTGGGCTAAGCAAACGTTAACTTAAAAGCAGGTCATAACTATATGAAATATAATATTAATATACTATATATTTATATAATTTGAAAGACTTGAAGGATGTAAAAAGATTTAGTTCTAGCCTGCAAAAACATAAATAAATATGTCCTCTATAAAAAAATGTATATATTGAAAATATATTTTATTCAACTGTTTCCAATTTTCGAAATTCTAACATTTTTACCACTTAATATTTGCTGTAATTTTTCTGTATTATTTCATTTTATTTATTTTATATTATATTTATATTTATATTAAGTATAAAAATTGCGAATTATGCAATTAAATTAGAAAACTAATTATTATTATAATTATATCTGTTATATTTTTAATAATGGCTTCTTTCATTATTTGATTTAATTACACTTTTTCTCATGGCTTTCAGAGTAAAAAAGAACAGTCGGAATTAATTTTGTGCGTCAAGAAACCGGACTTTTAAATCTGGTCTTTATAATTTTTAATTAAAAGTTGGCATAGTTGCAAAGTCAAAACCCGTAAATGAAAGAAATTTAAGCCGCGGCGAAAAAGGCGAAAACCTCAAAATGCAACAGGGCGGCATTCAAAACCAAACGAGCGCCTTAATTAAGTTGTGCCGGGGCCCATACATTATATATATTTATACATACACACATATATATAAGTATATAGTCGTTTTTCATTCCTCTATTCATTGCCCTTCGCGTTGGGGCTCAGGCGGGCAACGCGTTGTATGAATAATATGACCATTTTATGTTAATCATACGCATCGTTGCACCCGCCGAAGCGGACTAAGGGTTGCTGTTATTAACCCAGTTGGTCTGGAAAATATTTATAGCTCGACTTAAACTGCACAGCAGAGTAAAAGATATATCTACAATTATTAATTGGCCCATATACTCCATTCGTAGCATAAGAAAAAATTGTATTATAACTTTAATTATTCATAAAGTTTTCTTGCATTTGCGCTGCAATTTGGTTCAAAATCGCGCTCATTTATCGCTTTCCTGATGGGAAATGCATGCTATTTATTTGTTTTCATTTCCATTTCCATTTCTATTTTCAGTTTTTCCAACTTCTTTTCAGCTTTTGTGCCCACAAAATACATTAGCCTGATTGTGACAAGCTGCAGTCAAGTGCTCCGCCATCAGCGGGCCAAACGGTGCCCACGGATGGGGTAGCATTGCGTGGCATGAGAGGGTTTTACATATGTCAAATCAGAAAACAATAGGTAACGCTCGACAAAAGCTTCTTAATGCCAGTTGGTCGCGAACTCAACAACACAAAACAAAACTCATGTCGTTGTCTATCACACACATTCATGTCAATATATAAATATAAATATATATATATATATTTATATATATATATATATATATATATATATATATATATATGTATATGTTCATAGGAACATTAATATGAACAGCACGGACAATAGATATTAATTGTGTTCGCAGTGTCGTAGGTGGCAGAAATTAAGAAAACAAAGGTTTTATTCATTTGCTTGACAACTACATGCATAATTAAGTTAATTCGTTTTAAGTTGTCTTCTGATTATTTTTACAAATGAATGAAATTAGGAAAATGCAAGTAAAAGAACGGAGTCAAAGATAAATTCTTAAATATATGAAAATAAATTAATGAGCGTATGCTTTAAACTTAGTTTTATACTACCTTCAGGCTGTATTAAACATATTTAAATGTAGTTCTTTATTTTTGTTATCTTACATGTTCATATATGACAGACCAAGTATATTTATTTTATATTTAAAATAAGCTAAATACATAATCTATTTATATATATTTAAAAATATATATGTATGGCCAAGCCTGAGCACATGAAGTTAACACTTAAACACTTAAACACTTTTGGTACTTAGGTATAATTTCAATATTCTCAGCTCCCTTTCACAGCATAGCAAAAAAAAAAAAAACATAATTTATAGCAATCATCATGTTTGAGGCTAGCTTTAATAATAGATAAATTGTTTTCTAAAAGTTTCCATTGATACTTAATAAATTACCCTCATCGGAGGAGACAAAAACCTGCGCTGAATTTTAACTCAATGACGACGCACTCGTTCTTCGCTGAGTCCTCTTTTCAGCTCTGGCTCACATCCAAACATTTAGGGTAGAACAACAAAAAAAACAGCGGCAGCTCGTTCAACTGCTTTGTTATTGTTTGTGGTGCACAGTCTCTGCCACTTGTGGACTTGCCGCAGTATCTTCAAGATACACACAAGACGCTCAGGCACACTGCCGAGATATATAGTATGTGTATATATGCGTTTGTGTGTGTGTGTTGCAAAGGAAACTTTGGCGTCGTTTAAAATATTTACGACTATTTACACAGTCAATTGCGCGCCTGAACCTCACGTGACTGCAAAAAGCAATTTCATATATATATTTATATATATAATTTTGCCTCAGATGTAATTTAATGTTGTGCTTTGTGCTCTACGTTCGTAAATAAAGTAAAAGTCCCGGGAAAGTAGAATACAATAAATAACGCAGCAAAGCGTAAGTTGAAATAATCAAAGCGAGCCGCAAAGTCGACTGAAAAGCCTACGTTATATTTACGATGTCTCTCTTTCTGTGGGTATAGAAATGTGTCTGCGTGTGCGAGTGTGTAGAAAAAATATACAACAATTCATTATAGGCGTATCTTTGGCTGTGAGTCTGTATCTATATCCGTGTGTCTATGGCCTGGACCGGCGTTTATTTAACTTAAAATCAATAACCGGCTAACGAAAATTTCAAATACGTTTATCATCATAAGGCTCGTTGCACTGATGGTGTTGGTGTTGCCTTTCTTTCTTGGCAACTTGGCGTATACGTGATGTGTTGCGTGATTTGCCGCATGATAAGCATTGTGCGAGCTTATGTGTGGCCAACGAAAATAATGATTGATTGATGTGAGCTGATCTGAAATGAAAGCCGGAAAACTTTGATTTTTAGTTAAACTAAACAAGACCGGAGACAAGGAAACGAATAGCGGATTCGGTCACTGAGATTGAAGGAGGTTTTTATTAATATCAAATTTTCAATTTTGGGCATTGAAGGCCGCAGGCCTAAAGTTCATTCAACCCTGCTATGAGTGAGTTTTGCTGGCAATTTAATAGAAGAGAATAATAAGTGAAATTCATATCTTTATTTTAAGCACAGCAATATATCAACTAAATTGGAATCAGGTCTCTAATAAAAATGAAGCGCCATGAAGCTTAAGGCGAAATATTACGAATAATATTTTAAAGCCCGAGCAGTAGATTAGCACCAACAACAACTCTCTGTTATTAATAGGTTCATGTATACGTATATAAAAAATAATAATTTTATACGCCAACTTAATAGATTGAAACATATAAAGTATGCCATATTATTTTTTCTGGTGAGCACAAGCCAACCAAGCCCCAATGAAGAAAAATTAAAAAAAAATTGAATATGCTAAAGCGAATACAGAGGAATACCTCGTTTGTAGCTTAAAAGTTTGCTAAAAGTTTTATTTTAAAATTTTAATGGAAACTATTAAACTGACGTATCTAGAAAACGTAATTAAAAATAATGCTATATTAATATCAAAGTGGGGAAATGCTTGTTATTTAACTTTTATTATATTACAAACAATTACCTAACAATTTGAAAAACCTAAGCTCATTTATGGAATGTCCGTTTTGCTCTGCATTTGTCTGTTCGTATACTTATTTTTGTAAGTATGCATAGTGTGCAAAGTTCTGTTATTATATTGTTTATAATATGCAACAATTATAGTATTACTATACTTTATTGTATATAGATGATGTAGATGGCATTATATATATATATATTACATATCCGTATACACGAATGCCACGGCTATACATAAATATTTATTTATACACTTATTGCTGACTTCGATAATTGAAAAAACTATATCTGTAAGTTATCACTGACTTCTTCTATAGATGACTTTAAAATATATATAAATATATATGCATTTCAAATATATATATTAAAATATATATATTCCGAGTCTGCCAAAAAACTATATCATCTTTAGTTTATAGTTCGATTCTACAAGGAAGATAATCGATGTGCTTGTAGAGGGGATACAAATAGACTTGTGAGTCTTAAAATATACTAAAAATATATTAAGAGCAAATCATTTGTAATCTGTTACCCCCGACTACTAAAGTCGAACTTGATACATAATTGATGCATTCGACAGATAGATTGATGCATAGATTAAGAGTCGGTAAAGGTTGATAAGTATTGATCGCCCTCTATATTTAGACTTTTAATGGGATTCCATATTGGATTCCACTGCCTGTTATGCATTTCCAACACGGCATAAGTCGAAAACATTTTCAAATCATAATCTGAAATGGCTTTTGATTTTTTAAAGAAGCATAAACTTTTCTCATGGTCAAAGCACTTGGTAAAGCCATAAAGTTAAGCTTGGGAAAAAGCAGCCGAGTCAAGGCCAAGCCAATAAATCAAATGCAGCTAAGCAAACATTTCCGTTTCCGTCTGTGACTTCGCATAAAAGGGGGTAGGAAGGGGCAGGATAAGAAAAAATTGTGTCGAAACTGGAATTGCGCAAGTTTCCGCTTAGCCGGGGCCAAATTGCATTGCCTTATGGACCGGGGTCTGCTTTGAAGTCCAATTGCATTTTGATTGCCCAGCTGAAAATCTAATCAATTGATTTATTTGTCAATATAATTGAATGCGCTTATTGCGAAATTGTGACGCTGTTTGTGCAACGCCTTTTCGCACTTTCATATTCAGCGAGCAAATACAAATTACAAATAGAAGTCCACTTAACGAGGTGTGTGTGTGTGTGTGTGTGTGAAAGTGTCCTTTGTTTGCACAATTGATTGCCGGCTACAGCCAGCTGCTTTTGTTATCCTGCAGCCAATTAATATTGACACAGCGCTGGGAATTGCATGCCATGGCATGTGCTGTGACCGCCTGTTCTGTGACTCGTTACATGTCACTGCACTCGTTATCCCCGTTGGCCAATGACTTCCAGCTGCATTCTAATTGCTTGGCTAATTTAATAGACCACTTTTATTGCCTACTACTCTCACATTGATTATTGTTCTTTATGTGTTTCTCTCTAATATGCAGGCGGCCATCATCAGAGAGGGCTATTTACTGAAGCACACTTGGTCCTTTCAGCGCTGGCGTCGTCGTTATTTTCGTCTAAAGCGCAGTCATTTATATTATGCCAAGAACGCCAAGGTAAGACCATCGCATATTTCATATATATTATAATATATATATATTTTTTTTTTCCATTCCTATTTGATTGTTGTTAATTGTTAAGTATTTTAAATTGTACCCTTATACTTATACCAATAAAAACGTTTTTCACCTCAGTACCATTTTTCTTTTTTTATTTCCAAATAAAATACTTGAATATACAATATAAACTAAAAAATGGCCTATTTTATTTTTAACTAATTTGTAAGCTCTAAAAAGCTTTAAGCTTATATTTATTTTTATTCGAATGCTTGAAACGAAACTATCTGGCAAGCTGAGAAATTAAAATTAAAAGAAATCCAGTAAATTAATTATTAAAAATTAAATTTTGTCTTAAAGCAAAATTATATTTGGAAAATATTGAAAATATATTAAAAACAAAAATTTTTTTGTAATTTTTTTAAATAATTGCTAAAACGAAACTCACCCCAATTTTACGATATTGTAAGCGAAATAAAATTCAGGACAATAGAAAACAATTTTAGGACTGTAGATCGAATGAAATTGAAAATATTTGACATTAAAGGAGATTTTGTGCGAACTATCTGCTGAACTTAAAGGTAGATCTTTGAAATCTGAAAAATATATTTTAAAATTAGCTTTAGACTTATCTTGACATAAGCAAAAACTTCATTGAATTTTTTTATTTTTATATTTCCATTACACTAAATATTAACACAAAACTTTAGTATTTAAATACATGTTCTTTAAGGCAGAAAATATGGCCAGGTACCTGGCCACTCGTTGCGTTGGCAACAAAGTAGGGCAAAGCACAACAACCGCTGCAATCTGCTGGCGAGTGTCCTTCGAAATATAAAACAACAGTAGCCTTTGTTAACTGCATCGAACAATAATCAAATTCCAGCCAGCACTCACATTAATTCTGCCTAATTGCCAATTGAACAGCTGCGCTGCGATACTCTGCGTATACGTAACGCAGCAACCGGATGCTGCGCTGGAAATGGGCTATAGGTCGGGGTACTTAGAATTCGTTATTTGAGGCACATGCAATTTCCTGCCAATTAGGAATTGCTGCAACAGGAAACAAAAAACATGCAGCTGACACTGATTGGTACTACACAGGCACTGTGTGAGCTGACCTTTTGCATTTGCCAGATTCATTTTTATTGTACGCTTCAAGCGCCTCCAATTACGAAATAAAGTTACCGCAACTTGAAAGCAAACACTGACAAAATACTACAAAGCGAGTCAGAAATTAGATTAGTGTTGGGGCTACGAGCATGACAGGTGACAGATGCTCTGACAGGCAGCCAAATTGTTTTATTGCGTGCACTCTGTGTGCACCGACAAAAATGAGTGAGAATATAATTCAATCAGCAGGCTACCAGTTGCTGCTGACTAAAAAATGTACATAAAAGAACACAGACACATTCAAAATACATTTTCATTCATTCAATTACCGCAAACGATTTAATTAGAGGAGGTGACCTCCATTCCAATACTTATCAACACCAAATTATTAATTTGTTTGCCCAGGACATTAATCAACAGAATGAAGCTAATCAGCAGACAAATCTACTTTTGAAATGACACCCAGTTGCCAGTTACCAGTTACCAGTTACCAGTTGCCATTACCCATTTATCAGTTGAACGCAGCTATGTACAAGTGTTACCCAAATGGGGTCATCAATACAATGCCCAAGGTCTTTCTGCTTGAATTGAGTAGGACATGACCTGCTAATTGCACAAGCATAATGGAGAGTGAAATTTTGGCAGAAAAGTGTCGCAGCTGCTAGGCGCAGAGAGGGGTAAACAAAGATGAATTGTAGCAAAAGTAAAAGCTACACTCTATTCTAAAAAAATTTATTGTTACTCTAAGAGTGCTAAAAACTATATGAGAAGATTTAGTTTACCTGAAAAATTACTTTAAATAAAAAAAAAACAAATTTATTGTTTAATTTACCAAGGCATTAGAAGTCTTCTACTATAAAAAAAAAAAAATAAACTGTCATCTCAAACTGAATAATGTATTCCACTCTATAGCTATATTTTTATGGCTTATGGTAACAATCATTATAAATATGCTAAAATATTTCTGATTAATTCCACTGCGAAAGTTTCAATTAAATAAAAAATTCATTTAATACCAGATACCCTTAATTATCTCGTATCTGTCTATTCTTGTAAATAAAGTGTCCAATAAATTATGTGGAATTACAGTTGGTAAAACGCTTTAAACACGTTTACAGAACGCTCGCTCACATCAAAGTGCTCGACTTTCAAGCATATCATATTCGTCGACGTTTCACCTTTCATGTGAATTACCTGTGACTGATTTTAATTTGATTGCTTTCGATAACAACAGCAAAGTAGTTCTTCAAATTGCATTGGGCCGAAAATAGATGCAGGCACTTGTGTCAAACATTTGTGTTCGACTGCGTTATGAAAGTGCAATAACAATATTGCGCATACGTCATGTGAACAAAGCAGCAGATGACGTAGCTGCGTGTTGTCGTTTTTAGCACTTGCGGGGGATGTTATTCAGTCAACTGTTGTGTAGCTTAAAAGATAGACTACATGTCGTTACATAATGCCTTTATTTAGATATATCCTAAATACGATTAATTAAATTTTAATTAATTCCCAGCCTACTGTAATTCTTGTTTTAACTAAGCTGATTTACAAGTAGCCTTCTTTAAGTCTTGCTCTTTCTCTCGGCATTTCGGCATTTGTCATTTGAGTGGAGCACAACAGATAAAAGTAATTTAACGCTTGACAAATAGATTTGGGGCTATATTTCAAGGTTAATATTGTGTAGCAAATAGCAATTTGTAAAACAGCAGCAACAGTTGATGACGATGGAGTTGCCTAGGCACTTAGAAACTCATTAAACGGCATGAAATTTTCAATTATAATTACGCATACGCCACGTTGTGCCGAGTGGCTTAACTGCTCGGTAATTTGTTGAGTTGCGAGCAAAAACTGCACAAACAAAAGCAAAATAAGGGCAGTCGCCGAGTCTTAGCCTTAGCCTAAGCCTAAGCACTACGACCCTCATAAAGGCTGAGGAACAGAGCAAAAAGATAACGCTCTCAACTCACAAACGATGACAATGATGAGGTATGCCAGATCCCGTTGAAATTACGCCTATGTTAATGATGGCGTTCGCCATCGTAAAAGCGCAAATTTTTGTTTGCATTCTTTTCGGCGTTCCTTTTTTGCACGTTGTTGTGCCCAAAGCTGCGGCTGCTCCTGCTGCTGCTGCTTTTCCTTTGCCTTATTGCCACGCTTTTCTTACTACTTGTTTCTGTTCCTCGCACGAGACACGCGGCCGGGACGACAACAAAAGCAACATTTCATTATTCACCACAGTTGTAAATCGTAGCGATACCCACCTAAGCGGCGTTGACATGTGCTCGCTTCCATGCCAGTGTGTGTACACGTGTGTGTGCGTTTTTGTTTTGACACGTAAAAGCTCTGCTTTGATGAGAGAGTGAAAGAAAGAGCGGCAGGAACGTAAGCTTTCAGGCAGCGTTGCCAGACTGCGCACTACACGCAACGAAGCCAAAATAACTAAGTTAAATATATAATAATTGTACAATGAATAAATAAACCAAATAATTACTAAAATAAAAACAAATATCAATTAAAAATTTGAGACTTATTAAATAATGCCTTTATTTTATTTTCAATAATTTCTAAACAATTAACGTAATTATTATAAGCATTATAAACTAATTAATTAAAAAAAACTTAAAAGCAAATATAATAAAAAATTAAATAAATGAAATTATTACAATAATTATTATAAAAATAATAATTAATTATTAATAAAGCACTAACAAATATAAAATATATATAATATATAAATTCTCGATCATAATTAATCTATATCTGATCTTTTTGTCTCTTATTATCTCTCTGATTTTTTCTAAAGCAATATGCTTTTGTCTCTCTCTATCTGTCTCTCTCTCCCCCTCTCTTTCCTTTTCGTTTCCTATCTTTCTGTCTCTCTCTTTTACTCTCTCTTTTACTCTCTCTCCCCCTCTCTCTCTCGCACTCTCTCTCTCTCTATGTTTATAATAATTTGTTTCGTTTGTCTGCTTGTCTGTTAAATCTGATTAAAACCGAAAGTTTCATAAAGTTTTATGCTCAGTGTAGACCACTTCAGTAGAGCAAGCTTTTTTCGGCTACTTTGAAGCCACCCCGCTGCGCGCACCTGTAAATATTTGTGTCCTGCCAACACCCTTAGCCTACATTTGGGGGGCGGCTCAGCCGCTACTCAGCCAGTCTGTCTGTGGTGAGTTTCGTTTGGCGGCCAATAAAAGCAACTGCCATGCCGAAGACGAGCTCAGTGCAAACTCAACGAAGCAACGTGGAACAACACAAATCAACTGGCAGCCAAACCAGGACTCTAAACAACAAACAATAAATCATAAAATAATACAAAAAAAAAAAACTATAAACAAATACTAAACAAAATTAAATGTATATAGAAACCAGTACTCAAAAAGAAGTTCTTAAATATTTAGTGAAACCTTAGAAACCTTTGTTATAATTCCAAACGACTTTAACTTAATGTGTGTGCCAAAATAAAAGTTTCTTTGACTTCAAATTTGACCGTTTAACCTGTGTAGACGTAAGCTCCAAAGCCCTAAAAACTAACCAAAAAAGTCTTTTATGCATCGTAAAGTGAAGCAACAGCATACATCGCTGGCTTAACGTTATAGCTAGCCACAAAAGCGATTTTTGTCATAGTTGAGGTAAGTTCCATTTAAGTAGGCCCATTTAAGTAACTTGTTTATGAAATGCTTAACACACATTCGACTATTTATACTTGTATTTGGGTCATGGTCCACAGCCTTAAGTGCAGCAGAAAACGGACTCAGTCAACTATAAAAGCGACTCGAATTCTTGTTCGCACTTTCCCAAAGTTCTAATTGATTTATTAAGAAACTTGATCTGGCCTGTTCCCAAATGTCAAGCTTAATCAATGTCCAGCTCGTGCTTTTAAAATAAAATGCTTGCAATGAATAATTGGTTTAAGTCGAAATCTTGTCAGGAATTGATTGAATTAATTAAGAGCAAAAATGTTGAAGTGTAAAAATGTAATTGAATCAAAATAAAAAGCCGTGCAGAAATGGCGAATACCAAATCTTCTCCGACGGAATTTGTCAACGGAGATAAAGGTATTTAAATACAATAATAGTAGAATAATAGTAGTGATAATATTCATATAATATCCAAGATGACAATAATACAGTGTGAATTATCAGAGCTGAATAAAATATAAAATTATTAACATGATGTTGCATAACAAAATAGTAATGCAATAGAATTTTCCAATTTAAAAGTAAGGATAAAACTCTCAACTACAGAATTTTGATAGATATTTTGGAAGACAGGAAAACTTATTAAAGCTGTAAGCTATATATAAAAATTTCATTTAAATTATTTAATTTTATGTAATTTCTAAGTAAGGTAACTATAAATATTTGTTAAAATAGATCTTTTACTATATATTATAATAATGTATTTATTAATTTTACTATATATTATATAATTTGTTTCAAAAATAATTGTTTGAGCAGTTGCTTAAATGTTAAGCAGAAAAACATGCATCTTAACGTCATTTCTAAGCCAAATATCTCAATAAAAATGAAAAGAGATAAAAAGTAAAACAAGTCAGGTTAGTTAGTTAACACACAGGTGCACATTTAGTCTAGTCTTTTTACTACTGCAAAGTACAATCAACCCAATCGTAGGCAAAAAAAGACGGAAGGAAAGATATGATTTTGACAGTTTGCACATACTCAGGCATTAACCTAATAAATTGTGTCTGGGCTGCCGAAAGTCGTCGCTCTAATGGCAGCAGAAGCAGTCTGTGACTAATTATAACAATGAAGGCGATAAGAGCGTAGATAGAGAAAGGCAGGCAGTGCGCACGACTTTCTACTCGAGTTGGGATACGCTTGTTGGGCTGCAAAAAAGTGATGGGCGGAGCTGCCAAACAATCAGCTAAAGTGACATTTATACTGAGATAATTACCCTAAATTCTATGCACACACGCACAAGCGCGCAGAGAGAATAGCTAAATATACAAAAAGTGACAAAAATTGCAAAAATGAACAAGTGATGGAGGGCGCAAACTAACGAAAAAAGAGATAAAAGAAGCAAAGAAAACATGTGTTTGAGCAGCAGGTGCGATAGACAGAAAGCAACAATAAGCTTTGTAATTGCAGCAAGTCCTGCATGTCCTGTATGTACCGTGTGCCTTTGTGTATATGCTGATAATAGACTAGAGCGCCAACACCTAAAGTCCTTTGCATATAGGCAATGCTATATGTGCAATTGTTGCGTGCCCTGAATGGCGAGCAGCGGGCCTTGTTGTCCTGCCGTTGTCGTGCAATATACATTCTGTTATCCTGCGCATGTTTATTGTGTTTACACTGCCTGTACACACACACTGCAGCGTGTCCATTAACATATCCGTGTTAAGGTATTTTGTTTGTTTTTTGTATCTTTGTTCTCTTTTTCAAAAAGCGATTAAGCGTTCATTTTATGACCGCACCCTACGTTCTGTGCGTATGTGTGTGTGTGTGTTTCAGTATGCGACGGTAATTTGGCTCGTGTCTGCTAAGATTTTCTCGATACACCCAGTGGGGCGTGGTACATCGGGACATACTATATCTGGTTGAACAGTTAAACGCTCTTAGTTAAAGTGCCGCACATAGTCAAATTTAAAAAAAAAAGAACAAAAATGTATTAGATATATATACGTCCACAGCAAATCGGGTAAAACTGTATCTTAAACATTTAAAGACCTACAACACCAACGTTAGGCACTGATCAATGATCAAAATGAGCGTGGCGAATGGGGAATAATTATAAAACTATAAATATCAATTGGAAATATATCCTCGTGTAGATAAACTACCTACAAAAATATATATTTTATATATCCATGTCCATAGGAGAAGACCAATCAGAAAAATCTAATTACTCTAAAGTTTTTGAGCTCAAAACTTAACAATTCGATAGATAATTCAGTTGTGGACATTTTCGAATAGATCGATGTACCGAAATGAAAATAAATTGTATTATCAAAATTTTGGAGCCTTAGGCCCAACAAATTTTAAAGTTATGTTTTTGTGGACTCCTTCCAAGGACTGAACATAAATGATATATCTTCACCTACTAGGAAAACCTGTAACGTCCACAGTTTGGCGAGTTCAGTTGCCTATTGACTTACCAAAAACTGTCTACAATTGACTCTTAAAGGCGGGACACATAAGAAAACCTATATCAAAATTTTAAGTTCAAAATTGGCAGCTAATTAGTGCAGATTCCCTCTTGAGACTTTCCAAAAAAAAATATAACTCTGCTTGCATCGTGAGCGAGTATTATGCAGTATATGACGCCAGATTCCAGTAGTCTTGCCTATTTTATTGCCTATTTTATTTAGGCAAAACCGTGCTCACAGTCATTGACAGAAACACGCGTAAAGCGTCAGCAAAGACATTAAGCAATTGCAGATTAAGGCTGAAGCAAAATAACAGCCGAATTGGAAAAGTAGCTGAGGCACATATAGATTAAGCTGGGATATAAAAAAGTTTTTATTACCTATGTCAACTGATACATAAAAGCATATATTCGTGCACGTATATGAACTGTAATTTCCATTTATCTTAGTTGAATAAATATTTAACTTTCAATTAAATTTGTTTTATTTACTCTCTGTGGAATGTTTCGTGCACATATCAAATTCCACATATAATTATCAATAATTCCGCACATTACAAATGCACTTTACGTGCCTGAAAATACACGATCCCCTTAATTGGCATTTAATATGCAGACGCATTTTACTAATTTAGCCGAGAATGTCAACTCTGACGTCACAGTTTATAATTGCATGTGTGCACTTTTATGCGCCCTGAATTATTGAACAGACAAGTAAATGTAAAGTATTGAATATCATCGGACCTTGATAAGGGCATATATGTGAGGGCGTCAAACTGGCTGCAACATCTGAAAAGAAAAGAAAACGCTCAAAGTCATGAAATACTGCCTTAGTATATATCACAATAGGTGTGATATAGGAAGTTTCCCATTTTTCCCTGAAAGTCCCTCTAAAAATACTTTTATACATAGTTCATTTGGTAACTAATATACCCATTTAACTAATATACCCATAATTAATTTCCGAACATGCTGACCCATTTGTGTGGCCAGCGAGGCATTAAAATTGCATTTAGACAGTCGAAAATTGGTTTGACTTTTTGCTTTAAAGGTCAAATTAGAGTACATATTGGTATAAAATGCAGGCCAACATTAAAAACAAATGCACAGACTGCACGAAAAACGAATCTAATTGGATAAATACAAAGTCTGACAGATGCCAGTAGAAGTTGAGTCAGTTGAAAGTTAGATAATCACAGCTGAGTTTATCATGCATAAGAGAAATGCATTTAAGGACAGACAAACGTTGAAAAGAGGAAGGCATGGATGGCTAGTTAGATACACTTAAATACAAAACTATGTATTATGGCCTTGACGAAGCAAATTGTAAGTCGAATTTGAGTGAGACCCAGTTTCGTATGCAGCAGAATTCTACTCGAAATTTTGGTAAAATTCATATCAACTTAAATAAAACAAATTAAAATTGTATAACTTATATACATTATGTCAAGCAATTTATTTATTTAGATGTAACTCAGAGTTCATTCTTGATGACGATATTACTTTTATTGCCAGAGCTGTAAAAGCCCTGAGCTAAATGATGTTCAATTATTTACCTTATACATTAATGAGACGTAAAGAAAGCGAGTACAGTTGAGTCTAGTCTCTAGTCAATTGTGCTGATTGCATCAACCTAAATTCCTTATTCCGAGGCTGTTTTTATTGCATAAGCCGAGTCGTAATTGCGTTACATAAACCCAGAGCAAACACACATAACATATGAACAAACACATTGGCTGACACACTGGCATACCGTGCGTATGAGCAACGTGCCTTAATGCTTAACTAGCAGCAGGCGCACTCAACTGTGAGTGCAGCAGGATAGGTAAGGACGTTACAACAGAGGGGGTACTTAAAAGAAACATGGCCAAACTTGCCTGACTTGCTGACATTGCACATTGCAGGCATATACATAAATATTTACAAACGAATTTTAAATATTTTGCCAAATAAATTGCAAATTTGCGAATTACAGTAACCGCCTTACTTATGAGCACATACAGAACTTTGCAGACATACGTATACTGATATAGGTATACATATCTGTTATATACATACACACATTCTGAGCCCAGTCACAGCTGTGTAATTTTTTGGCTACTTTCACTTTTGTGCGCTGGGGCTTTGGCGTCCTAATTTATGGCCCACAATGCCATATGAGGTCGCTGCCACGACAGTCACGTGCCACAGAAAGGGCTCAACATTTTGTTGATTTTCTTTCCTATTCGGTTCTTTTCGGCTGTGGGTAAAATCGATGGCACAGCCTTGACGTGGGTGCCAGGTCACTTGGCAGCAGATGCATTGATTTAAAACAAAAGAGCATAGCCACACACGCACACACACACTCATACACACAACCGCACACACGCATTCATAACGATTATTCAGGCCAATTGGTGATTCTTATTCCTGTTGTGAGCATATTATTTGATTATTCAGATCAATTGTTGGTTTTTATTCCAGTTATGTGCATATTGAGTGTAAACAGTGGCAAATTGCACTTGAATGAAGTTGATTAATT